TGCAAATTTTCGGCAAAACCTTGGGAGTTTGTACGCCGTTTTCATATTCCAATAGATTTCATTAAACGATAAGAAGTGTTAAAGAACACATATTATTATTAATAAAATATGTATATAATGTAGACGCATTCAGTCTAATGTGCGATGGTGTACCTACAGTTAATGCGCGCGCATGGCGAATGCATAATATAACAATGATCGTATTGTGGAATAAACATTTTAACACCTTTCTTTTTAAATGTCAAATAAAAATAGTAAAGTAAAATAAAATACGTTTCGAAATAATCCGCATGCAGTTGATTAATTAAGTGTAAACGTATGTCTTGCTTAATGTTGTCGTGCAGTTGAGCTAGAAATACCACAACTGTAGTATAATATACACGGCTGAGCTTAAATGCGTACAGTTACAAAGTCGAGTCTGACCGGCTAATTTAAGTAATTACTCTGAATAAGACGCGTTATAATTTATTATTGAAAAACGAGTTCTTTGGAAATACATAGAATTTGAATGGGAGAAAGTAAAAGTTATAACGTGAAACCGAGTTATCGGTTTAAAGAAATCATCAACGAACGTTCTAGACGATCCGTTTCGATTAGAAATAGGCGGTCATTCGAATAAACCAACTTCGTTGATCGTTGAGTTTCTAGGAAATGCATGTGAAGAGTACAAAACGCGTATCAGTTAAAAAAAACTTAATAATATTAATGTTATAATTATTCGTAGAAATATATAAAAACAATTGGACACGAACGAATATAATCCCAACTATTCTCTATTTAACCTAATAACGAACCAGCGCAGAAACCAAAACACGTTGTTGCTGGCTGTAGTGGCTCTTGCGTTGGGTAGAGACCATAGAGCATACACTATTTTGGGATAGGTCGAACAAGTTACTGGTGTATAATTTTGATATTATTAAACGCTTGCTTCGGTATAGTCATAATCCGAACGCGTTTACAGTTTTAACTCCTTCCATATTGCGAACGGCGTATAAATTACCGATTGTTATGAAGTAGTAAAGTTAATGTACACGATATTATATTATATGTCTATTGTATCGTGTTGCCGGTAGGTCTACTATATAATTACTAGTATTTCGGATTCGACGATGTTGTGCGCGAGCATAATCATTTTGTTCGTTAACTGGAGTGATGTTTTTTTTATTTTTAGACCCGCGAGGTCTCTCTCCAACGTTTATCATCGCTCATTAATTAAATGGTTAAAAGAACGAGAGTATCGCATTGTTTCGCAACGCTGACTACTGCTTGATTTACGCTGTCAAATGTGCGCACCTTCACGATTTCGAACCAAATTTCGTTGCCGTTGGCTGTAATTTACAAATATTGTACTTTTGCACTTAAACGTACAAGTATCCAAATAAAATTAAGTACGGTTTTTTTTTCAAAATTATTCACAAATAATCAGACTCGGATAGGAAGGTTCCGGGCCTTCCAGCCCATTATTCTGGATTAGCATGCGCCCCAAATGTTTAAGTCAAGAGTTTGTCCTCGGAATGCTCACTGGAAGCCGGTGGATTTACAACGTGCATAATATGTAATAATAATAATAATATTAACTGTAATAATTATAGTCTATAACCACGAAATTGTCCATAGTTTATGGACAATTTCGTGGTGCCGTCCTATTGTTCAATCGACTTAATTATATTACATCTGTTCGGTAAGAACAAAACCGTGTCGCGAATTGGCCGGTCCGCGTTAGCGGATGCCGTTTCTACAAAAATCGTTTTAGTCGTATTATTGTAATGACCACCAAAAGAGCAAAACCGCCGGGTTGGATAATATCGCGCATTATTAATACAGTGCACTGGGGCATTAGTGTAAAAATGTGATGCAAGACCAATTCAGGCCGACCACGCCCGCTCTCGACGTCGCAGCGGTCTTAGGGCGACCTCGCCTTGGCGATAGCGCCCAGTTTTGACATTAAGCAGAATGTCTCGAACTCGCTGTACAACATGAACCAGTTTTTTTTTTTTTTTTTGCCATACGCTTTATTATAATATCGTGTGTGTACGCGTGGCACACGCCGCAGTATTTATGTGTAAAACTAGGCATATTATTTTCCTACACATAACATACTATATTCTACTCCGTACGACACCGATTTATACCACCCATTATATGTATTATAATACCCGAGTAATGTACTCGTACATACAGTGTAGTTTATACACAGTACACGCGTAATTGTGTGTGTGTGTACTGTGTAAACGGCGGCGGTTTTACGCTCTACCGGTGTTTTAACTTCCACGGGCGACAAGTGTACCGATTCGGCTAACAGTGTATATTATATTATACATTGCAACGGCAGTGGACATATACACAGAGTGCCTACATAGAATAACACAGCGCGTTATAACCGTTGAACGCGGGCGGCGAAGGCGAAGGTGGTATCCGCGGGGGACGGTTTGCCGTTTTTGGCTGACCGGTATTTGACATAATACGAGTACGCCGTGATTCGTGTTTCGACAATCGTTTTGGAATATATTATTATTATTATTATTATGTACTAATATATTATGTACAGTATATGCCGTATACTGTGTTATATCATTTGTCGGATTTTCTTGGCTCATGCCTTTCATCTCCCGCAGCTAACACGATATTGTACCTACGATATTGTTAATGTTATAATATTATAGAAAAACTGTCACGGTGTCCGCGTAGGTTTGGAAATCCGGCGACCGTGGTCTGAGCTTAAGGCGATAATGACAATGGGGTTAGAGTAAGACCGTAGACGCAGTTATACGTGTTCCGAATGTTCAAAAAAAAAAACTCTTGACGGTTGACTGAACTACCGATCTAAGACCGACACGCAACTGTGTAAATACGATTGTGTTTTGTTTATTATGCTTATACTATTATAGCCTCAACAAAATCAAATAAAAAACGACTGTAAGCTTTCACGTTTTTTTATAATTATTATTATGTAGATATAACTACGGAAACTTTTAAACTAATCAATTATTTCGCTCACGGTCTAGAACCGAGCTCAGTAACGTCGATTTCATTATTTAGAAGGTATTAAAGTTCTAATATATAATATATTTTAGCTGAGAAAGTATGGGTTGGTTTTACGGCGTTTTTTTTTTTTGTGCCTGTGAACACAAAACCGTGTTTAGAGATTAAACTTAGCTAGGTCAACTAGATTATAGTTAACTAAACAAACAAATGCATCGGTCAACCGAATAATACTATTTATTCAGTAAAATCAAATACATTTTGGTTATCGCTCTTTTTCGTGTTAATGGTAAACCCTTGATGGATATTCCGTCAATACTCCTACTAAATTGTATGCTTTTACTCGTTATTATTTATGTACTCTATTCTACCAAGGTACTCTATAATTTCACCAATAGAGTATCATTTGACGTTGAAATATGTTCTGTGGATGAGAAGGACAGTGCTAGAAAATAATGAAACTATTCATTTTGTACACAATTTTCACGTTTTGAACAAACATTAAAATAATATCGTCTGAATTCTCAACTGAAACCGGCAAAACCACAATGATCGACCACTCAACTCATGAATCGCTAAATAAAAAAAAATTATAAACAATTGTTTTTTGCTAACTTCGAGTTAAAGCTCAAAAGTTACACGAGTAAAACAAATAATTTGATTTATGCAGTACTAGATCATAAAAGATCATGAAATTGCATTTAGCCGAAGTATGGAAAACTAGTATACTTTTATACCAGCCGCCAATCCCAGGAATCTCTTTATCAATCATTAGATACCATAAGATAAGGGATCTGATCCCTGGTATCTTAACTCGAAGTGTTTTAAATACCGACACGGTCCAGAAATGGGGGAAAAATATCCGGGAAATTTGTTCGGGTAAGTACTATGTTCCAAAAAAATGGTACTACGTATTTGATTTGAATAATCTAAAAAGAATTCTGGAAATTATTGCGGGTCTATAGTTTTTGGATTTAGGTTTCTGGTAGAGATACGGTTTTTGGGATTTTCCGGTCTGAAAATAGATTTTCTTGTGATTTGGACTCGGGTTTAGAAAACTGTTTAAATCATTTTCGGTTCACCCGACTTTTGCCTAGGTTTTCTCTACTCGTTTTGACTACGTCTGAGGGTTGTACTCGCGGTTAGTTTGGCCACTCTTGTTGTTTTCAAGTAAGGAAGAATGGCGGTGATATAAATGTGTGACGTCCTTACAAATATCAGATGCCGTTAGAGTAGAATGTTATAAATATTAAATACATAATAGTAAATCGTTACTTTATACGTTATATGTATAGAATAATAATGTCACATCTATCGTGCTTTTTTTTTTTTCATATAAAATGTTTTAACCTACAGCAGTTATTTTGATCTTTACATGGTAGTCTCGATATGCCTACGTAAAACAATATCGTTTCACGTGCCTGTATAGAAACGTTATTTGTAGTGCGATGCAATGTTAAATAATTCCTTTTTACGAATATGATTTTACATCAGCAGCCCGTAAAACACCAAGTTCTTTGATGCTTAACGTGCATACGACTATATGAGTAATGCCTGTCATAACAATGTTATTAACGCTATTGTTTTTAAATATACGATTCAGCCGAAAGAGATTTTGAACGATTAAATTTTACACAATACATCACTGCGAATGACCTTGTCTGGAGTCTGGACCATGGCTGAATTCTATGAAATAGAATAAAAAACATTTTACTCATATTATTACTTATCTTTCCATTAAGTATGTAACTATTACTAGTTTGGTATTCATTTTCACGCATGTGATAGTTATTAACATACAGAATGGTTTTTCTTATAACGCACTCGGCTTATACTCCGTTTCATTGTTAAAATATTTTCAAAACATTATGAATGCCACCCTGAAAAAATTGTCCGTAATAGTGAACAAATTCTACGTTTCGATTGTACTCATTCAACATATCATTGTATTTTATCATGTTGTTTATAGCTATTGTTTAGCTCTCTAATGTTTTTTTTTTTTTTTTTAAATGTTTAAGGACTATGCGAAGAAAGGCGGCAAAACGGCGAATTCAAATGCCCCGAGGAGTTTGGATATTATCCACACCCCAACGACTGTTCTCAATACTATGTATGCGTGTTCGGTGGTCCTCTTTTGGAATCGTGTACCGGTGGACTAATGTACAGGTATGTGCGCTAATATTACTCCCAAATACATCAAACGACGACCGTAACAGGTATGACTAAAGACGTACGCTGGAGTTTATTTTGAATCATTTTTTTTTTGGCATATCGTGTACCTATATAAAAACAAAAGTATAAATAAATTATAACAATCAATAGCTTAAATTCTACAATCGAAAAGTGTACTTTTTCTCCCGTTTTCAAAAAACCTATGTGTTTAAAATAAAATTATCCGGTGAAGAGCAGGTCGGAGCATTTATAAATCGCTTAGTTCAATAAATGACAATATTGAAAAATCAAAACTGCGAATCCGACCACGGAGGCAAGTGAAGCTCAATTTTTGTTTAAACGATATACTACATATCACAAACTTGAAGATAAAAAAAATGTTTAACGACGTATACAAATATTTATTTTATTTTTTAAGCTTAATTTTTCCATAATATGATATAGTGTATACTATATACTAAAATAGTATACTATTAGTTACAATAATTAATAAACTAACTATTGAATTCGCTGTTTTTTTTTGTAATTTGCGCCATTTATTTTTTGAAACGTGTCACTGTACAGAGTACAGCGACGTTATTACCTACAATCGCGAACGTCGATGGGTATTATACATGTATCGCAGATATACGAGTATTATAATCTAAACTCTAAAGTGTGATATATACCACTTTCACACATCTGAATGCTGACATATACACAGAGCTGACGTGACGCAATGATAAATAAAAAATACATACAGATATATTTACCGTTGGTTCATTAACCAAACTTGATATAATAAAAAAAAAAATCATAAGGCTCGCGTGTGCGTTTGTGCAGTTCCTTTCAGTTAATGAAGCCTGTCCTCGTCCGCTGCTCGTACACACAATTATTATTATTATAATATAGAACACACGAACAGTTGAGAATGTATTTCACACGAGTTTAACTATTATGACGACGTGGTCATAATATGCGCTTTGTTCTCGCTTACGATCAGATTATAGATATCATTACCTGTAAACCATTAAACACATACAGCGACCAGTTGGCGGATTTAATTCTTTCATTATTACACCCAGACCTGGCTTTCGACATTAAAATATAATATAATAATTTATTGCATAACGTCAACGAGCCAATACGGTCATTAAATTCATTACCGTGTCGATTCGTATCTTGATCACTTGATCACTTTATCTGTGTACATTTTTTCTGTACATAGGCCGTACCTACTAAATATCCAACATGCCACTCACTTGGCCAGTCGAAAAGAAACTTTTCGTTGTTTTTATATTGTTCAATCATTATCAAAGATCATTTTTTTTTAATTTAATTTAGTCTCTATAACGTATAAGTATTCTTCTTTCTCTGGTGGACCGCCTGGATTTACTGATATCTACTTCGTCTAACTATTTTGATATTTAATTTTTTTCAACTTTAACGACGATATATTAAATTGACCATCGGCTCTGTACCAAAAAAAAAAATCGTGGTTTTAATGGCGTAATTCGTAACACGCTCTGGGGTATATCGTTATTAACAATAATCAAACATTTTTCGTTAAATCAGTATAATAACTGTAATTCAGTATTAGGTTTTGTCACGCTCGCGTTATGATACCGATCGCTGGCAAAATAAACCGTATAAAGAGTATGAAGGCTAGTATTGCAGGTCTTCTCCCGTATGATATTTATTTAAAAAAAAATAATCCGTCGCATTGTAAAACGAGTCCGACATCATAGAATATATAATTTTAAACCATAACCAACCCGTTAATACGCATCATTATTTGTTTACACAGTCACGAGCTACAAACGTGTGATTGGCCGCGTAACGTGGGATGCGGCGCTGAAACAACTGCCAGTCAATCGGATAACCAAGAAAACGCTTTGGCGCTGACGCGGTCGTCGCCTGACCGCCAGAGACATCCGTCGGCACAACCCCAGCGAGCCACGCCGACCCTATTCGGCAACCAGCAGACCCATCGAGTTCAACAGGCCCAAGAACAACGTCAAGTCGACGACCAACTGGCTAAACAACAACAACTGTACGAAGAAGAGGAATACGGAGCGATCGAAGACGACAGCGATAGGCAACAGAGAGTGTACAGAGGACAGCCGTCGACGCTGGGTCAAGTAGCCAGAGACAGAGACGGTCTGACTAAACATAGAAATGTGATAACGGTAATAAAAACAAACGAACCGACGCATGGTTGGCGCACGCATAAACTGTACTCGAGATTTTCTTCGTTTTCTAGCCATTCGCGGGAGTAGAAAAGAACAAACAGTTCCAATTGCCAAATCAAAACTTCAGGTTAGTGTTTATTTTTGTGTTTATTTTACTTTTTAACACCGATTTGCACTCGTCGGACGACGTTATTCGACTTGCATAACTTTTTGATACTTGACTTTTTTTTTGTACGTATTTTATACGTGTTGAAACAGAAACGATACGAAGCAACACCGCGTTAAACAACGTTTTAAAAGACAGACCCGACCAAGGTAAACGACACACTATCACAATTATTAGAATACCGACTTATAAGCACATTTTAGCGTACCATCAGTACTACAAGCGTCGTAGACAGTAGTATTGTAAACGTAACTTGTAACGTGTATTATAGTGTAGCGATGGTGTCGGGCACTTGAACGTCTAAAATTGTTATTGTTTGACACCGTGTTTTTATTAAATAACAGCCACGACGGAAAGACAAGACCGAGACCGACTGAGATGACATTGTCGACAACCAATTACGCTTTGCGCAAATTACCCAAACACTACCAGGTACCCAGACCTTCGTCTTACGTACCCATAACAAACTCAGACAATTCGCAAAAACACAAGCGATGCTTGTACAAATCCCAAAGATACCCGGGACTTTTGATCCCTTGTCCGTCTTCTCGTTTTCGGGTACCGCCGTCACTGCGTTCACGTGATAACGAGGACGATCAGTCCGCGGACGACGAGAGTTCTAGAGACAACGAAGAGACTGTCGACGACAAAGGCGAGTACGCCGATTATCCGGAAAACGAAAACCAAGAGGAATACGAAGAAGAGGAAAATCCTCAGTCGCACAATGCCGACCAAGCATTCGAGCACTTGGTCAACCGAGTGAGGTGCAAGAACAAAAACTGCGACAGCGACGAACCCGGGGGCCAGGAAGAGGACGCCCGGAACAACCAGGAAGAAGACGATGGCGGTGGCGGGGAAAACCAAGAAGGGAACGTCGAAGAAGAGGAGAGCCAAGAGGGATCGCCCGACGACAAAGCGGAAGAAGAGGAGGGAGAAGACGAAAAACACGAGCGCCCTCAGAAACACAAGGCCAAGCCAAAGCCGCCGAGCCCGAAAGCGGTAAACGCGATGAAACCTTTGACGATCGCTCATAACTATAAGCCGGCCAACTTCACCAAAATCAAAAGGAAACCTACTCCGCCGCCTCCACCTCCTCGTCCCCATCACCACCCGCATCATCCCAAATTGACAGCTTACGACGACCGGGACAAAGGCGAGGCCCAAGAAGCGGAAGAGGAAGACAGCCAAGAGAGTAGCAGGCAAGAGGACGTGGAAGAGTACAACGAAAACGACGAGCTGGCCGACGACGAGTATTACTACGACGACGAGGACTACGATGCGCCGCCGAAAAAACCCAAAATACCGCAAAAGCTGATCGGCATCGACGGCATGAAGTTCGACCACGAAGGAGACGAACCTTCCGAGAGCATCTACAAGAACACCGTACTTAAAAACGTCTCGAAAACCGGAGACGCGCACAAACCGTACGATACGGGATCGACGGTGGTCAACTCGTATGACACCTTACCGCAAAGGCCCAGACCGTACGACTCGGCCGCCGAAGCGTATTCTCGAATAAAAGACAAAAACAGACCTCACGACCAGCAGACCGCCATGCAAATGACGGTCCGCGACACTACTGTGGCATTAAATTTACTTGAAGAACAAACGACTAAACACAAAGTGCCCAAAATTAATACTGACTGGACGACGGTGTCGGCTGTAAAAAAATACACGCCGAGACCGACTGTCCGACCGAACATCCTACAAAGGTGAGACGCACCATGACTATTACTCTATTACTCTATTTTCTTTTCTTCATAAGACCATTTCTTGTAGCGAATAAAGACGGCCTGCTCCTCTCTCTCTCTCTTCAATGCGCTGTCTTCATTTGGGAATACCCGCTGCATCCAGTCTGTCGTCATTTCTCCCATGAATGTCTTCCTCCCTCTTCCTTTGCGACCATTGATTCCTTCTTCCACTATGCTGGTTATGAAGAAGTTAAGTCTTATAAGTTTCCTATCATCTTTTCACTTCTTGCTCTCATGATGTGAAGCAATTTTCTTTCATCTCAAAGAAGTTCTCAATCCAACTGATGCAAAGTAAGCTTCTCCACGTCCACGTATCCATTACTTCTAATTTTCTTTTACCTCGTTCAGTTAATGTCCATATGAGCGGTTGAGAGCAAAAGTTGTGTAAGTCACGAATTTTCAAAGTTGAAAAACGAAAGGTTAAAGTACAAAAGTTCCTTTTCCACTTGGCGGAAAATAAGCAAAGCGCGACTCACGCCATTTTCGCAGGCAATACCTAGATTGAAGGTAGAATTATCGCCTGTTGGCATTACTTCAGATTGGGTGGACATTTGACTTGCAGCAAATTTTGCGCTCGACCGCTCATATTTCACAGCCATAAAGCAATACAATCGTATTACACAATATCATCTTATTTCTTTAGAAGCAAAAATAACCCGGGCGTAAGTATATCCTACAACGTTAGAGAAGAACGCCCAATTTTTAACTTTACTAAATAGACCTTATAAAATTACAAATAATCATATACTTGCATACAAAACAATATTCTTGACTTGCGGTTTTATGCAGATAATCATAAGTAAGATAAAGAACACCAACTAACCCAATTATACAATTTTAGACCACAACAGATCTCTGTTCCGTCTTACGCGATTGAACAGACGGTGCCACTTGTGACCACATCTAAAACCACCGCTTCCACAGTTACCCGCAATGCATCACAGCAGTACGACCCTACTTTCTATAATGTTTACGATGACGACTCCGAAGTTTACAAGGACGTTGGTAAGTAAATCGATTCTTTCTTGTATTGTATCGTTTTGGACGGCGTTCGATCGATCACGATACTTACTTAATTGATTTCATTTCCGCAAGTTGTTTCATTTATATAGGCATTGAAAATATTATGAAGTATACTTTTAAAATTATATACTAATTTACAGACTACGGTCAGTTCACACTTTCGTCGGTGAATAACAACAACAGGCTTAAACCTCAACCGGACACGTTTAGAGTATCCGTACCAATACCCCCTCAACCCACGCCGAGATACCAAGCTAACACATTTCTGCCAGAGTATAACCTTAAAGTAATTGTTATTTTATATTTGTTTAACCATTTTTATAATTAATACAATGATGATTTGTATATATATATTTTACAGGGGTGTATTAATAAAAAAAACAATAACTATATTACAATCGTAAAAATATTTAATTATAATTGCAAAATGTTTTATTTCTTCTATTGAAACACCATAAAGTTAATATACGAAGTAAAGTAAAAAAAAAAAAAGGTTATTGCTCAAAAACAAAAGTATAATTCATTTTTATACTTTTTTCAGAAATATAATATAAACAAATCATCGACAAATAATTTACCGTACTATACTAATTCGAATAGAAATACTAAACAGAATACCATTAAAGCATTTTAAAATAGTTTTACTCAACAAGCTAATAATCGTTTACAGATCACTGAGGAAGAACCTCAACGGGATCAACAGACCAAAGCTACCTACAGGTGAGTGATAATTTTTGTTCGCATCGACATTAAACATAAATTTCGCATACGGTTAGGTCATTACATGTTTGGTTAGATAAACGGTTAAACAAATTTATCATGATATACACGACCATATGACTAAAAAGATATGTAAATAAGGCTGTGCGGATTTATTATTGTTGTTATAAAATAAGCGTGTGCGATTCGAAAAAAATGGTGGGCGTGTGACGTTGTTTGTACCTTATTGTGATTATATAAAGTATTTAGAATGTAAATGTGAAAAAAATTCAACTGTATATATTATATTGTTGTAATAATAATAATGAAATCGTACGGTACTAAATAAATTGGAATTGGTGCTTTACGTTTTCTAAAACGAGTGTCTCTATATTCCATTAGTCATAACCTAATAATCTTTGAGTAAAACATCCACCTCAACTTGCCTTCTTTTGCCTCGTTGTGTATATTTTAATACAACCGTACTATTTTAGCCTTATTTGCATAGTGACAACTCACATACATTATACTACCACTACCACTACCACTACTACTACTACTACTACTACTATATTAATATCACAAAAAGCTAATATTATTATTGCGGTTATCACACCAAAGTGTAATATCATTTGATTTGTACATAAACCATCTCCTAATTTTTTTTGTACATATTATATATATAATTTTAATTAGGTCAACAGTCGTCGGTGTAAACCCTATCGTCCCGGACCGCTCGACCTTTACGTTCTCCACGACAACGCCTAGTACTCCCTCGACGGCTTACCCGTTCGCTTCGTCTCCGTCGTTGTTCTTGAGGCCTCCTTCCCCTCAAGGAAACTACTTTTGGACCACTTTTCCTACTACTGCCCTTAAGCCCAAATCCAACCAGCAAGACTTCAGAATAATCGTAGACCCGTACAACACGACGCGGTACGAGGTGACCACGCATAGGGGCACCGTCAAAACGAGTCCGCAGTGGTTTAAACTCAGAACTACCCCTTTCCCGTCGCCGACCACGACGACGACCTCCACCGCCAGCAGCTCCACCGCCAGCACCTACCACTACCACTACTACTACGTCGTCGACGACCGCAAGGTCTGCGGACACCCAGGACGACCAGGAGTATGATGTCGCGGTCGAGGGCGACGGGTCGGAGGAAGGCGGCTACATCGACGACAACTCCGTCGAGAAAACCAGTACGTCTTCGTCGAGCCCTTCGCCGAGCCCTTCCGGTTTCCGAATTCCCAACCGTTTCCCATCCACTGTCAAGAGCGGTCCGAGTGTTCAGCCAGTCACGGTAGCGGCGCCCGCAAGCAAAACGACGGTGACAGAATGCCGAGAGTGCAACGAAAAACCGTCAAGGTATGGAGGACGATATCGAGAGCCGAGTCGCATATCAGATTTATCAGAAATAAATTGTTAACGCTATTATTGTCATTAAAAAAAAAAAAAAACCGAAGAACAAATTTCTTTTTTTTTCGTTATGCCGCATAGACAGCACGATTAATGACAAACATTGCACGACGTAATAAAAATCAGTAGTGACCGTACGGATTGCATTTATCCGTATTGTCTTGAGCCATTTTTTCAATCATTGTACGGTAATCACGCATCGTTTCAATTTAAAAACAACAAACAATAACACACTTATGAATGAAGGTGCAAATCTTGAAAAATAATTATGAGCCTGACCGCTGACGAATTGAGCATAAATATATATTTTCTTATGTGCTATTGCACAACGGTACACAGACTTGCAATAATCATGATACTGTGATTGTTCTGTTTGACGAAATTATTTTATCAACGAATTTATGCGAAAATTACTAACATACTTGTGTTACATGTATTTTTTTAATGTAAGCGACGATTGCGACTCGTCGAATAGTATAATATATTAAAAAATACTTCATCACATTATCAAACATAAACTACGATGTCTACGACATGTAATATAGTCATGTTTTGTTTTTAAACATATTGATTCGAAAATATCTCCAAACTTTAACATTAACATAAATAGTTTTATAAATATCGCATTTCATAATGTTTTAGTGAAATTATCTATATTAACGGATTTGGATTAAGAGCATTGAAATATATTATACACGCTTTTTTTTTTATCTTGAGCAGTGATTTTGTGAACTAATTGAATATAACGCTACTTATTTATTTTAAAAAAACAATCGCTTCTATGTGTGTAATATGTTTTGTGATATAGCATTAACCACAATTTCGCCTTGTCACTTTTCTGATCTTTCCAATTTTGGTTGTTCAAGTTTTACTTGTGCCCAAACATAGTGCTCTTTAATTAACGTATAACATTGATACATAATAAAAACAAATGTTTGATCATTTGTTTTTATCGATTTATTTTTTTCTATTTCGTGGAAAATTTTGCGTTGAAGATTATAATTTTACATGCATGTGTATACAAGACTTAAATAAATATAGATATACAATCATTCAGCTTATAACAGCCTATAAAATCAATGATATTATATACATATTAAATATTGTACAGAAGATAGATGAATTTAACATAGCACTAATTTTTCTCTAAAAATAATTGCTTTTTGTAGTTTTTATTTTTGAAAAAAATGCTGTGTATGGTATTTTATAATATTATAAAAGTTGTGAAATATTTAACTGTTCTGTTATAAGATCCAAAACCAGTCTTAAAAAATTACTTTTAAAAGTTATCAAAACTTAAAATTTAGGATGGGTGAGGTAGAGTGCGGTTAACTAGTATGCACTGATAATAATAATAAATATGCTACATTCCATCCTTCATCTCGTTCTAAATTCCAAACCTTAATAACTTAAAAAATAATTATTCAAAATTGGTTGTCGATCAGTTAAAATGTTTAATAATTTGTTGTTAATTATAAAAATAACTATTTAAGTTTCAAAACTTGAATTTACCAAAAAAAACGATAACATATTTGAAATATTAACTAAAATGTTAATAAAAAAAAACTGCAAAATTGTAATTATTTTTTTAATTATTAGAGAAAATGAGAATCTTACGTTAAATTGATCTCTCTTTATATAAAAATACAATTATACGTACATTGTATACTCAACAATTGACAAATTATAGCTGATAAATATGCTGATATGCAACGACTTTTATCAACTTCATTGATGTATATTATTATTATTAGTTTTTATTACCTGATGGAGTCTCTTAAATATTGGTGGCGGTGACTACTGACTGGTAGAGTACTGTGACATATACCTATGTTCTTATATTTTATCTTTTTCGGTTTTTTTGTTGCACTCGTACTTTATTACACGTTTCTATTTTCTGCACTTCGTGTAAAATGACGTTGCGCTTTTCTCGTCCAAGTATAAAAGTAATTGCATCAACTTGCTTGTATAAATCGCAAAACCTATCGTATTACGGTTACTGCCTACGTCTACAAGCGAAATAACGCCCATAGTTTGACTTAACAGGTCAACGGTGTTGCCACTGCGTACCATCGTTATAATTAATATTATATAAACGCATTAGGTTTACGTTTTTGTTGATATTAATTTTTTGTTTGTAATTGATTAGAGGCCGAGTGAGGGGAAGTGCAACATACACGACGGCAAGCAGCAATGATATCGACAGGGGTACACCTTTAGCTGGGTATGTATACTTGAACTAATTATACAATCGGTATAAGAAAGAAAACGAATGTATTATTTCTATTTTGAACAGGAGAACGCGTCCTACATTGAAACCGTCAACGTCGATTGTTAGCAAAGCGTCTGAATTCGTAGATGTTTACAAGTATCCGCCTAAAAGGTAGGTGTACGGTGTACCAACGGCATTTTATATTAATAATGCATCCAAGACTTATGTAAGTTATGTGTTTTTTACTATTTTAGACCCGACCCAATTTATCCGACTCCGCAGCCCGACAAAACCGCAGCCAAGTGTCGCAAAGACGTTTGCCAATTACCCGATTGCAGCTGTGGCGGCAAAGAAATTCCAGGTATTATAATATTATAGTCATTGGTAATATCACATATAGGGTTGATTCTTGGATATACTTTTAGTGAGATGCTAAAGCGGTCAGATAGAGTAATACGTGCAGATAAAAATGTCTCTACTTGAGTCCTAAGCAAATTATTCTTAATAACATGGCTCTTGAATTAAAAAAAGTAATTTAACAAAAAACAATTGAAGGGCACGGGGGGAAAACGGTAGTAGTCACATTATGAACATTTTAGAGTATAGCAAAAACAAAGTTCGTAAATTCCTCTCCCTCTTACAAAAGAACACACAAAATCACATTAAATGCTATTCTAATCAAAAATGTATTAATTTAAACAATCTATTGACATGAATAAAAAAAATGAATGGCTTAAATTGAAAAAAAAAATTTCATAATGTGACTACTACCGTTTTTCCCATGTGCCTTACAATTGTTTAAAAAAGTAAAACAGTAAAATGCAATAAAAAAAACGTGGTGTTTATAGCGCAAATGAATCAAAATTAATTTTAAAAAAACTAGTCTTAAAAATATTCACTAGAACAAAAGTTGTTTAATTTGTCAAATCTTTGTGGGCCACCTTGTATACTATAGAAGGGCTACAGACCAAATCCGAGTTTTTGATATTTAGTAATTACAGTTTTTAAAAATATAATAATGCAAATCCTTTTCAATCCTTCAATGGAATGTTCGCAGCATCCGCTCTCGTTTCTCTGATCTTTCTCACTTACCATGCGAACACCTATGCTATTTTACTCTCCTTTCGAAAACCTAGCTTTTACCAGGAACACAGTACCATTTACCCAATTACAACATAATATGCTGTGATCATTTTGATGGCTATGGTGGTGTTGCTATTGCAGCCCATAAATCTATATAGATTCACCCTTTATCTTTAACTTCCTCTGTAAGTTCTTTGCTCCTATATCATCACTCCATTGACCTCGTAGGCATTGAGGCCTTCTCGAATAGTTCCTCTTCCCTCAATATATTGTCCATATATATCTTTTCTACCTCAAATCTTCCCAAATCTGTACTCGATAATAATTTTTTTCTTGTTATTAACAATTCCATTCTGGCCGGTGACCTAAACGGTCACTATCAGTTTGGGACTCTAATAATAATATCAATCTACGTGGTGAAAACATTTTTTTCCTCCATCACACACTCCAATTTGATTTTATTAAACACTGGAGTTCCTATCCGTCACAATCGTCTATCTTGTTCTAACTCTGCCGTCGACTTATCTATTGCTTCCACTAACCTTTCGCTATCTCTTCTTTGGTCGATTATTGATGATCCCTTTGGTAGCGATATTTTCCATTTTTTATTAAACAAACACTGGTTTCCCCTTTTCTGTGATAAAGTTGCTCCTTCTTTTGTTTCCTCGCATAATGAAGCTTCACCCTCCATTTTTCCTTCTCCTTCTAGCTCTAATTTTAATTTACATTTTTTAACTGCCTCCTTCAATTGGAAGCAACTTTCCTTGGCTTTATCCTCACGCTCTTTCCCTGCTGTCGTTCTCGTTGGTATATCTATCCTGATTCTAAAAAGTATGTTCTGCACTGCCCTTAATCACTTATAATGTGTTTCAAATAATCTATGGTTAAGCGGTATTATCCCTGACTCCTGGAAACAGTTCCACGTCATACCCATTCCTAAGCCAAACTCCTCTCCTTCCTCCTACAGACCTACCGCTTTATTTTCTGTGTTTTGCAAACTGGTCGAGTACATTATCAAATGTCGTCTAGATTGGTTTCTCGGGAAAAAATTAGCTCTCCCTCTCTCTTCGGTTTCCAACGGGGCATAGGTACCATGGAATGCCTGTCCTCTCTCATAGGTCCTACCTATAATTCCTTCCATAATAAAGAATATCTGCCTGCCGCCTTCGTCGATATACAAGGCGCATTCAACTCTGTCCATATTCCTACCCTTATTTCCCGTTTGACTTCTCTAGATATTCTTCATGCTCTTTGTAACTTTATCTCTTCCCTCTTTGTTGTCCCTCTCTTACTTTCTCTTCTCCTTCTAGACATACCATCAAAAGACATACTTATAGGGGCTTACCTTAAGGTAGCTGTCTTAGTTCCTCACTCTTTAATATTTATATTTATTCCATTTCTCAATACTTGGCCAATTCTCAATTCGAGACTTTATTATATGCTGATGATGTTGTGATTTTTACCTCACATAAATATTAAGATGTTTCCATGAACATTAATCAGCTCTTCTCAAACTCTCTACTGCTCTTTTCTCTTCCTTATTTTCCATTGCTCCAAACAAAAGTAAATTTTTGCATTTCACACGGAAACGTATTCATCTTTCTCCGTCTATCCTCCTAGAAGACTAGCCCATTTCTACTTCTCCCTCTGTTAAATACGTTGGCCTTATACTTGATTCTAAACTTAGATGGATCCCGCACTATCAGTTCCTCTATGGTTTGAAAACGCGTTGGCCCAATTTTTTGAAAGCCATTATTGCCTTTAATTGGAGCTCTCATCCCAATTCCTTACTAGTTTTATACAACACAGTTATCCTTTCCTTGGCTTCCTTAACTCACCGCTGATGGTTCTCTTTCTCTTAATTCAGCTGGTTTTTCTTATATTATCCCTACACTTAATTTTTCTTATTCTGAAAAATTAGTTTCTTATGCTTCCTGCTTTACAGCTGAATGCTATGCAATTATCAGTTCCCTTCAACACCTTTTTTCCCGCACCTATCCCTCTTCCTTCCGAATTCCGCCGTCTAATCTCCCCCAAATTTTTTTAAGTTATTACTTAATTCCTGGCAATCCAAATGACACTCTCTTCCTCATAATTATGCTGCTTGACATAGAGCGATTTCTCCTACCATTTCCTGTCGTCCTTGGTTTTGGAACTCTCCCTTATCTAGATCCCTTATTGTTTCTTTTACCAGACTTCGTCTTGAACATAACCTACTTCCTGCTCATGCCTTCCATCTCTCTCTAAACTCATCTCCCATTTGTACCCTCCACCACGAAGCTCCTTATAATTTTAACCACATTCTCCTCGACTGGAGTATAGAGTAGGGCTCTATACTCCAACAGAAAAAAATAAATAATGCAAATCTAAATACATTTTTCCAACCTAAAAACGTTATACTAAAAAATTTGGCTTCAGAATTTTTTTTTGTAATTCTAAAAACTCGGATTTTGCTCAACTCTGCTATTTATGGTAAATTTGGGAGGTGGGACCGATCACTGGTCCTAGCCAACTGGACGTAGAGGCGAAATCCCTAGAAACCTGTAGGATACTTGATTATGGGGATGCGTCAGCGCTTCCAAAGTCCAATTACTCGATTCACTGAAAAATCAACATATTGAAACAACTATACCAACCGTACGCCATTATTTTTTGTAGGTGATTTATCGCCTGAAGAAACACCGCAAATGGTCTTGTTGACTTTCGACGATTCCGTGAACGACTTAAACAAAGGACTTTATGCTGACTTATTCGAAAAAGGCAGAGTGAACCCCAACGGTTGTCCGATAAGCGCTACTTTCTACGTGTCTCACGAATGGACGGACTACAGTCAAGTGCAGAACTTGTACGCAGCCGGACACGAAATAGCGTCTCATTCAGTATCACATAGTTTTGGCGAACAGTTTTCGCAAAAGAAATGGACCAAGGAAATCGTCGGCCAGAGAGAAATCCTTTCGGCTTACGGTGGAGTCCGACAAGAAGACGTTAGGGGAATGAGAGCACCGTTCTTGGCCGTAAGTGCACGTCGCCAAGGACATTAACTGTTACATTGAAATTACGTTAATTTTTTTTTTTCCTATGGCTATCAGGTCGGAGGTAACAAAATGTTCAAAATGTTGTACGACAGTAACTTCACGTACGATTCGTCCATGCCCATTTACGAGAACAAACCACCTAGCTGGCCGTACACGTTAGATTATAAATTATTCCACGACTGCATGATACCACCCTGCCCCACCAGATCATACCCAGGTATCGTATAAAAATGATTAGGCAATAATATCTCATTACCTATATTAACTCATCGAAAAACATTATAATTCATTTAATAGGGGTATGGGAAGTACCCATGGTTATGTGGCAAGACTTAAACGGCGGAAGGTGTTCTATGGGTGATGCTTGTAGTAATCCTCCGGACGCTGATGGAGTACACAAGATGCTAATGAAAAACTTTGACAGACATTTCACGAGCAACAGGTAGATCTAATCGTTATTTTAAATTAGTTTTGCCATAAATACTAGAAATTAAGCATAACTCACAACCTAGAAAACTATATAGTATATATATTACCATAAACACAATCAATGGGTGGTTGGTGAGATAAACGTGAATACACATAAAAACGCCTCTATTTTAATATATATATATGATTTAAGATATTTCTCAAAGATTAAAATATATAAAAACAATTAAGCTAGTTAATATATTTTCTCATGAACACATACCTAACCATAATTCTTGGGGTTATACTTTACATGTCTATTCAAGTTTATATAACGCTTATTAGTTATAAAATTATTGTTTAAAATTATATTCGCGCGGACTGCGGAAGACATATAAATTTGTCAAATGGTCAAATAGTAAGTGTTTACTGACATTTCTTCTTGTTTATGAATATCATGTAAACTATGGCGTGTAAGTTAACAACTATTTGTGTCGTGAAGAATTAAAAAAATACTTAGTTATATACTTATATTTGATATGAACCAACTACTGTACATTATTTTAAATTAATTAAATGTTGTCTGATGTATCCACTGGTCATTAACTTAATGACTCGTTAATAGATGTATTTTTTAATACTTAAATAATTAACCAAATGTTTTATGGTCAAGGTTTTGGCAACTAATTAAATTTGAGTTACATAATTAACATGGTATTTCACCCTTAATAGTGTTCAACATTTATTTGTAAACAACTAACTGGTACGACTAGTTACTAACATTTGTCTTTGTTTTTAGAGCACCGTTCGGTTTGTTCTATCACGCAGCTTGGTTTACCCAACCCCACCACAAGGAAGGATTCATTCGGTTCTTGGACACTATCGTGGACATGCCTGAGGTGTGGGTCGTCAATAACTGGCAAGCGCTCCAGTGGGTCAGAGATCCGACTTCCATATCTAGATTACAATCATTTTCGCCTTTCCATTGTGATTTTTCGGTAAGACTGTTATGAAATCCCGAGCGCCATCATACTTTTGAAAGGGTTTAAGCAATCGTGGTTATTTCAAACATTCGACTTATTGATATGTTTTTCATTGAATTCTCTAGGAGAGGCCAAAGAAATGTAACAACCCAAAAGTCTGCAATCTGTGGCACAAATCCGGAGTTAGATACATGCGTACATGTCAACCGTGTCCCGACGTTTATCCATGGACGGGAAAGACTGGAATTAGGAGTAGTCGGATTGACGACGGATCCGAGTGACGACATCATTTTGACAAAGGCCAAAAATTTGTGTTAGGACATAATTATACTTTTTTTACGAATAAATTATGAACAATCATTACTATTAAAAAACATGTGAACACTTTTTCACGTTGTCGATCACACGGTATCATTTACACGACGTTGAAAAACTGTATACATGTACAACAAACAACAAAATATCCAAATACCAGCTCAATAAAATATCGTTAGCCACAATTTTGCCAATTGGTGTACGTTCATATTGTTTTACATCCGCGAATATTTATTAAAAACCAAGCAATATCTAAAAATATTTCCCATCCAACCCGCCCCCTCCCCCATAAATGTTAAGTATTGTATAAAATTTAATAATCTTACACACGCGAGTAAAACGACTATATTGTAAGTATTTGTGTAATACTGTTACCTAAGTTAAGTACTATATAAAAATAAATATCTAATGAAAAAATATATAATATTTGTATAGTAATTATTATGTTATTTGTACAAAATTGTTTTGTATATATATATTTGAATACATCATAATAACATATATACCAACCATTATAATAACATCATAATATGATATTATTATGGGGCTACTTCATATATCTAAATAATTTGTATTATACTTAAAAAAAAACCTCATCTTGTTTCACATCTTTGTGAAACACTGTTCATAATGATAATTCAAAGGGCACCCAATGTGTCCCGGAAGGGCATCACTTTAGTCACGTCTCATAGAATTGTGTCAACGCAATTTTATCTATGTATATGGGTTACAGTCTCGACAATGTTAAATGGGTACATCTCGGTCAAAAAACGTGTGTTTCGCATTGATGTTCATTTTGAAATCCAAGCAGACAAACAATTTTACGGGCCGGGATTTGAACTAGCGACGGTCCTCGTCGGCACCACCACACCTTAATATATTAGGCCCCCTCGTCCGGTGGTATTTTCATTGCAAATAACTAAAATCAGAAGTTGATACAATATCGCCATGTTTTAACGCTAATTCTAATTTTTTTTTTTTAATTTTCATTTCATTTCCCGAGCTCCCGGCTTGCACATCAAGTTTTTTCAATTAAAAAAATATAGAATTTCTACTGGTAATTTAGTACAGTTAGCATATGGTATGTTTATTATATAAAAATATAAAAAGTAGCAGTGTATGACATGTATATAGATCACCACCATTCATAGATGGAAGTATACATCATTTCCGTTTTAGACGACGGGGTAGATGGATTTTCAATGGCCAGGTCTGCGATCAGAGGATTATGAAAAAGGTTCCGCCCAATTGATTTAGTATTATATTATATTTTAATTTTTCTAATTCGGACAGATATTAATTAGACAAATAATTGTATCATAAAAAAATTAATCATTTCAAATTTTGTTTATGAATTTTTAAAAATCCTATAAATTCACACACACACACCGCACTATTTTCATTTTTTATTACAAAGGTAATACTGAACTAAAATTTATTGCGTATAATTTTTGATGATTTGTTGTTCGCATAGTAACTAGTGCGAGTAAACAATTTTGTTGATTTTATTTTGTACAAATGATTAGTACGTATATAGTTACACAAGCTTGTAATCATTTATCGTTTTGTGCTTGTTGGTTACTAAATGATGTGTGCGTGTAGACGATTTTTTACAAATGATTCTCCGTTCAATAACGAACGCAATAATAATTCTTGTTCAAGTCGTGAAGGCGGTATGTCTTGTAAACTTAATAAATCAGCAATAATAATTGTCAAATCACGTGTTGTTTGTTTTTCAATGGAACATTTATTAAAGGTCAGAAATTGTTTGGAAACAGCGAAACATCGGTTAATTTGGCCGCTTTCGAAGGGACTCGTTACAAAAACAAATCTGACAACAAATCAGGTACCTACCTAATTGTGTTGATTGGAAACGATTGCAAAGAACGTTTAAATTTATCGTATAACTAATACTACGATGACAAGTGAAATTTGAGAAAAACATGTAATCCCATTTTTCTTTAGATTGTAAACGATTATTTGCAAAAAAAAAATCGCCCGTCGATCAAACTAAAGGACGTGTCCCCGAGACACTTGATGACAAATATCCAAGTAAATAATATCAGTTTTACATAAATGTAACAATTAAATAAAACGTGTCAGTTGATTTTTATTTTTAACTCGTGACGCGTGTAAACTATAATGAGGTTGAAATTTTGCTCACAATTTTAGACAAGAAAATATATGACGGCCATAAGTCGACCTTATACGGATTTTCGAAAAAATTACCGCCCGAAGTATGTGTCCACAAAATTTACGATAGCGTACGGGTGATCATTGATATAATGGTACAATCGACTATTGAAGTATCCGACGCTTACTACCTAAGACAACTATTTAAATCAATGATCCATACGATTGACGATACATATGGATGCACGAACCACTCTAAATGCGTAGTTAGCAGTAACTAATAATTTGTATATTATTATAGTGTATTGACATAAAATATTAATTATAATAAATTGAGTTCCGCCCTGACGTGTTAAAAGAAAGAAGAGAGCCATTTTTTTTTTGGAAATAACTAAACAAATAAGAGAGATTATAATATAGAAATTTATCAATATACCTTTGGTCGCCTAAATTAGGCGGGCCTAGGAAAAAGTGTGTGTAAGTGATAATTGAAGACACGGGGATGTGTGCGGAGTGAATAAAGAAACAGTGATAGTCGATGGATAGAGATTCGTAAAGAGAGTGTATATTCAGTCTGAAGCGTTCATAGGTACATAATTGTATTGGTCATTGGCATATGTGTAGATAAGTGTAGATATAGATTATGATAAATAGTTGGGGTTTAAAAATGCAATTATTATCCGTTGAAAGTATACGCGTTTTGGAAAAAGAATTTTAAAAATATTATTCAACTGCGAAAATTAATTATAAAAAAAAATTGCAGTTTTGATAGTACCAATATAATGTACACTAAATTCAACGTGTGGGCACTGGGCCGCGCAAGGGACGAACTATTTTTTTGGATATTTTTCTCAAATTATAGTTTATGAAAACCTCGAAATTGTCCGCTCATCGCTGGGGGGCCCCGACATAAGCTTGGCACACAAATGCCATGATACGCTGCATAGTGTTTTTTTTTTTCGTTTGGTTTTTACCAAGGGGGGGGGGGTTAAACCATAACATCCCCCTTACCTACGCCAATGGCTTCGATAGTATTGATACGTATGTATATCGATATAGAATTATTATACGAGTATAATTGTTATACTTTTTATGAAAATTTAATAATGTTTTTTAAAAACTAAAAAACATGTCTGATTTCTAGAAAATTCACGCACATAAACCTCGTACAACTACAATGAAGTTGTCGGGCGGAGGAAGTCACCATCAAAAATCAATGCTAACCACACATGCACAAAATAAAATATGTTGTACGGAGCCGCTTCATTTTAATAGTTTAAAGAAGTTAACTGCGTCCGCCGCTTATTATGGATATATGTGTGGAAGAAAGCATGCGAAAAAAAACAGCTAGTATAAAAAAATTATCTAGTCTCTACCTATTATTATTAAACCAGATCAAGTAGATAATGTGCCTAAAAAGTATTTTTATCAAATTAATAACCTATAAGAAATCTACAACATTTGTTTTTCTCGAGTATTTATAGATACTAACAAGGGTAACAAAAGTTAGAAAGGACAAGTTAAATCAATCGATTAACCTTTTAAAATTACTACGAAGTACCTACAAGTCATGGTTTATTTCAAACTAAATTCGCATGTGCCCAAAATTAAATACCATTGTAAAGTTTATAATATTCTTCAAACATATTATACTTATACTAGCTGCATTGCCCCGACTTCGCTATGTAATGTGCCAATTTTTTTTTAAATTTCATCCTAGCTAACGGAGAGTGCGTTGGTTGCTGAAGGCTGCTGGCTGCATTGTATATCTTTAACGATTCTAATGCAGAATGTTCAAGTTACAAATAGTGAATACAGTAATCTAGTTCTTCAGACCATAACTTGTAAACAACATATTAAAGAATAAATATGTCGCTTGGGTCTTCAAGATACAATATTGTAGCTATTGATACAAGTTTATTAATTTATAGAAAACGAACCTTTAAGTACAGAAATTATAAAGCTAAACTAAATCGTCATATCTCAATACTACAGTCGTATTTAATTTAGTGGAGGAATACTCTGTTTTTTATTTAATCCATACTTAATTAACTTACTCTATTACAATACTTTCTTATAAACTACATTTGTCATCTAATTATTTGCTGAATAGATGTATAAATTCTTTGGATTTCCCACTCTAGAGCAAGCTACATATAACATTCTGAAGCATTCTCGGCCACTTTGGCACTCGATTCCCATCTCCTTCGCCGACTTCCCCTAAGAAGTCCATTGGTGCGATGACCGCTTTTGACACTAATGACCCCGAACCCTGCAATTCCAAACCGAAATCTTCTACATGGAGGGCAACCATACCACATAACCCCCACGAGGATGCGGTGGTGGGTTACGGAGTTATAGTGGCACGAACGGACAAACACACTTATATTTTATTATGTATTACAAGATTTCAATTATAAATATATCGTGTCCCTATATTAACCATAACTTTAGTTGGTCTGACTATGTTAGAGTTTAAACTAACAAAAGTTAATATGGGTTTCTCGAGAGAAAAAAAACCGTTCAAAATAATTGAATGTACTTTAATATGCTTACAAAATAAATTTTAAAAAGGCAGTACAGTGAGGTCGGGGCATAGTGGGCACGGAGAAGTCACAGGTCTACAGAATTTATTTTAACTGAAAGTGATTAAATCGCTTTCAAATAAACGCTTCGATGCGAATCTGTGGATAGTATGTTCAAACCAGTTATAGCGGTTTAGAAGATACCGTGGGACCAGCTATAATGTACTTAAATTTAATATTTAGTCTTGTGCGGGGTGGATACGATAAGGGTTGATCGTCTGTCTATAAAAATGTTCAGTCATAGTTATCCATATATCGTAATTAACAATGTAACGAAAATATTTTCATTACCTGTTTACTGTTGATTCAATCACACATAGCAACGTAGAAACTGACTACGGCCAAAGTGTAAATTTACCCTATTTTTTTTTTTTGGTGTTTTTCCTTAATAAAAAAAAATTTGACTACAGATTTTTAAGAAAATTGTATATGTTATATTTCCATTTTAGATCTACCTTCGGTCTAATTTTCAGATCTAAATCTCTAAAACTTTGAAAAGTGAACTGAAGAAAAAAGTTCTATCCCTTCTAAGGGAAAGGGTTTATGATATTTTTGGGGTTTGTTAATGTTTATCGATAGTACTATATTTGAAGAACAATTCATATAAATTAAGAACTTTTTCGACTATTTTTTAAAAAGTTATAGAGCATCGTAATTTTAAGTTGAAAAAATTGTACATTTTTCGGGTGTTTTTCTCGATTTTGATGGGGAAGGGATGGCCAATTAAAGCACCTTCCATGTATGATTTCTGATCTATAGAATTGCTACACGAAGAAATCGATTCAGCGGTTTACGAGGTATCGTTGGTCCAGACATAAAAATAAAAACACATCATTGTAAAAACAATACCTTCTCAGCTCCACACCGAAGCTAAGATATTCACAATTACTGTGTAATCAGAATTATGTAAAATATTTAAATCTGTTTTCTTAAAACATATTTTATACACTAAAAATGTTTTAATTTTACTTAATAATATGATTTATAAGTTCAAACAACCTTCATCTATTAAAAACTCAGATATTTTTCTTAAAATTCTTAAACAACATAATATACTTATTTTAATGCAGGGAGTATGAAATTAACTATTCTATCTATAGCAGTTTATAATATTCAGTATCAAAAGATTTGTATTATGAATACAATATATTAGTAAACTTGCATTAATCGAAAAATAAAAAAATTATCTTATACGAATATAGTGACACTAGTGTTGAAAAGCTAATACAAAAGCATTTAATTGCCGCCCAGAGACTAAAGTTCATCGAGTACAATAGTTAATTTTTCTAATGATACATAAAAAAACATTTGAGTTGAAACATATTTATTACAAAAAAAAGATACTTTTTATTTAAAATTAATTAATTTAATAAAACTTTAGAACATAGTATTTATTTTAAATTAGTTACTTGAATAATGTACATACAATCAGTTAAAATTGTTGAGTAATTATTAAATAGCTTTTAATTCTTCTGGCATATCATTTTTTGGATGTTTGTTTTCGAAATGTTGCTTATACGTTTTTGGATCCGGCATCTGAGCCTAAAATAAAAATACATAGCTATATTATGTAAGTAATTAACACATAACTAATTATACATGTTTAAACTATACTTTTTGGTATGGTTCTTTATTTATTTTTAGGAAATACAAGTTTATGTTCCGGGCAATAGTAACATATTACGCTCAAGCTAAAATATAATTTTTCTTTCTTATAATTTTACATAATTAAAAAATTTGTTTTGATCAAGTAATTCTTTCTAGAACTTTATTAAAGAAAAACTTAAGTAAAAAAAAAAAATGTTTTTAATGTGTAAATATGATTTTATTTGAGGAGGAGGAGTGGCAGAGTGGGTAAGGCGGCAGTGTGTTAGCGTTCACTGTCGCCGGTTCGACACTCGGTCACAGGCGCTCCGTTTGCTGGGCGAGCAATCGTCCGGTAAAAAGGAACCGCCATCCCCCTCTCCGGCGACGGATTGACGACCCGTCCCGGAAGCGAATTTGTCAAGAAACCATTTCATGATGGCAGCGTTGGGCCTTCATGGCCCGTTAAGCTACATGATGATGATGATAAATATGATTTTATTTAGAGAAACATATTCCATATTATTATAAAATATATGATTTGTGTGTACTATTAGTTATTACTAAAGACAGGTTTACCTATTTTTACACCTACTTCCGTAGGTTATGCAGAATAATTTGAGTAAGATTTTCAACAGTGGCAGATTTAGAGAAAACAGCTCAGTCTGTAAACAAAACTAATGACTCAATAAAATAAATTCCCAAGGGAGGCGAATTTAAATATTTTATTAACTACATGGGTTGATTATATTTTTACTAAATTATAATTATACTGAACGACTATCAACTACAAATTAATTAGATACTTTCAGTACTTATAGTCAGGGCCATCTGGGGGGCTTTCGGGGTCTAGGACAACTAAAGACTCAGAGCCCGTGTAGAAATAAAATACCATCTTTCAAAAAATTGCTACGCATAAGCATAAATAATATTTTGCTCTGTTTTTCATAAAAAAAACTTGAAAAAAATGAACAGGTTGCTCAATGAAAATGAGACTGATGATAAAATACTGGAAGGAAAATCAGAAGCTAAAATGGCCTATTTTATATTATAACTAATTGATAAATAATAATTGCTTTTACTATTGCTTACACGCTATTAAAATGTTTCACTGATTCTCTACAATTGATAACATTGCCTAATTTTGAAATTGAAATGCAGATTTTGTTGTATGGCTTCCTCTAATACAAGTGGAAAACGATTGTTTTCTGTGTTGAAAAGATTAAATAATTATCAAAATTCACTTTGATAAACAGAAAAATGTCATCGCTTTCCATATTTTTAAAAAAATAAATCGGTTGGTCAGGATCATGGGTCTGTCATTAGTTTGCAACAATCAAATCAAGACAAAAATTAATTTAAAATTAACCAAGATTATTAACCTTCGCTTCGCTCTGCTAAACTAAAAATACCAGGTTTGCAAGCTACAGTCTAGAAAGAGGTCACAGGTTTAACATGTTACTCGACTTAACTTTAAACATGTGATCTACTCCTAGACTGTAGCCTGCAAACCTAGGATATTTTTAATTTAGCGGAGCGAAACGACGGCGCCGAGCTAGCAAGTGCCAAAACACTCGGTGACCTGCCTTCCATAGAGGGGCAGGGAGGTAAGTAATTGCTTCATAGGTAACTGTATTAATATGTAATGCCATTTATTATAATTTATAAATGACATAGATAGCCCACTGGCATGTATTTCTTGCTGCCCGTAAATTGTTGCCGTTGTAGAGCGCTTTATACTGTTTTTAGTTATAGCAGTAGATACCGTGAGCGCTGACGATCGTCGTGCAAGCATACTATGTCTTCCTAGCTGTATTGCGCCTGCGCGTCGATCATCAGTGCTCAAGGTATCTACCGCTGTAACTAAAAATAGTATAAAGCGTTCTATAAAGGCAACAATTTACGCACAGCAAAAAATACATGCCAGTGGGCTATCTATATTATTTATAATCAATGGTAGTACGAATTATTTTACATAATTACCCTCTGATATTGAAAAAACTACGAGGGTCCGTATAATACACAAGTACTGGATTATTTTACAATTAATGTAGTACTCATTTTTTTTTTTTTATAAGATAATTACATAAGAAATATTGTTTAATTTTAATTATTTGTTTTTTAGATTATTGTACATGTAAATTTACTTAATATGTTCTTGTTTGTTTTTGTTATTTTTATAAATTTAATATTTTAAAGAAAATTATTTTATGTAATGGGCTGGAACTAAAATTGGAAAAGTATTGGATATTTATGCTCTTTCTATTTCTCTAATGATGTTAATAAGATGGTAGTATAGCTTAATGCGACACGACTACATTTACTACATTGAATACTTACTTTACAAACCGTGCAAGCGTGTATTAACGCTTTTTGTGCTGCCTTTTTTTGCTCATTAGCACTATGCCCTTGCTGCTTTTTCATTTTAGCTTGTTTTTCAGCTGCCTTAGCTTGCGATTGCACTTTTTGTTGACCTCTGGCCATTTTACTAAAAATATAATCACCATAAACCGAGCTATTAGAAAAATAAAGGGTATTTTTCCTCTTTCATACTTGCAACTATAGATATTTAAAAATTCACAAGCAGTAAGAATATGGGTTACAGCATTAAATACTTACAAATAGGTTTTTAAGTTTGATAGTTGGAAGACAACAGTATTAAATCGAATACAACTTTAAACGATATATATTTAAATCCGAAATTGAGTTTTGTGAATGTGCACACCTATTCTTAACGTGATTGTAAACGATTTACTTTACGAAAAGACCACATCCAGCTGATAAGTCAGTGGTCTGTCCGTCGTCCGTTATCCGACGTATGGTACGATGTCTTCAGAGTTCAGAGTGTATTACTAAGAGTTCAGTTTAGCCTTAACTCTTAAGTGAATGTAATAAATGTGATATACATACTATAGAATGATATCAGTTATCACTTTATAATTTATCGCTTGTTACCACGTTCAACCATGATTATCGTGTGAAAAATTGTAAGCGAACCACAACTTATGATAATATTATCACAGAATAAACTTCTGTAAAAATTTCATTTATTCTGTGATATTATCTTAAATCGTGTCCTAAGCTGCACTGTGCACAGCGTTTGCAATAATCGAAAAAAATGGCATTGTTATTGTGCATATCATAAACTCAACAAGCTGCGTTGCCCGTATATTAGTGTATTAAACACACCATGATAAAATAGATCTATAGAACACACAATCAGCTAATCGGATCACTGTATCCCTGTGGTATGAAAAATGATACCAAATATCTATTGATACTATTGATATAAATAAATATTAATTAATTAAAAACATTCTATCGGATCAAATTGTGAACAACCTTTCTCGAACCAACTTAATCGCGCACACAAAATTTCATAAGAAATCTGTACAGCCGTTTAAGAGTATTTTTTGAATACTTATACATGGACAGAAGAAATATATATATATAAGAAGATGCATTAACTATAAGCCCAATCGATTAAATTATATAATATAATATCCGTTCTCAACGTCTTGCATCACTAAAAAATTTTAAAATAAAAAATGATAAATCTATGGAAATTAAAATCTATATTTTGAAGCCTGAAGATATTATGATAAATTATAACTTTAAAATTGAGATGGTGACCAGCTGCTATTTGCAATGCCATACTGGTTTTAGTCATACTACTTACTTCACTATCACATACGAGCATATATTTTATAAATGTTAGTTCATCTCTTTAGTCTTTATATTATTATTCTATGGTCTCTTCTAAATATACAATATACTTTTAATGAACTAATTAGATAAATAGAAAATTAATTCATAAAACAACTTAAGATTTTGAAAATTTATTAATTTTATTATAAAATTCATAACCCCATATTTTTAGTAAAAAAAAATATAATATTAAAAAACCTACTGATTAGACATTCTAAACATCAACTATAACCTAAATACTTACATAATATATATGCACAATTTTGAAATGCAGTTTTTTTTTTCAAGATCTAAAAAGCTGTTGAGTTGAGCTTTATAAGATAAATCGAATATAATAATTTAATAAATAATACCTATTAAATGTCAAAATTAACAAAAAAAAATACAAAAAAATTGTACACCTTAAATTTTCACCATAAAAATAAATCATAATTGGTAACTTAACAGAAAAAAAATGGCATAAATGGAAATGGAGACCAAAATATAGATAATACTCTAAATCCATTGGAATACGGTCTACGATGTGTGTACCCTTAAGATTACACAACTTTCAAGTTCATGGATTATAGATGTATAATGTACTAGGCACTTGAAGTAAATGGAGGTTTCCAACCACCAAATGTACTTTCAAGGTGTTTTGCTACAGCAACACACAATCTATCTTGATTTTTACCGGCTACTACCTAAAACCAAGATAAAAGTTATTTAGCAATTTTTATCAGTTTTCTGCACTTTAACGTTGGTCTTTATAATATTACCTGTATTCCTAGTGGTAAACCATTTTTACCCAAACCTAGTGGTACTTGAGTCACTGGTAGTTTTAATACATTGAAAATCGCCCAATATGAAAAGTTATAGGGGTATAAAAATGGTTCATAATGACGTTTAGCTGTAGTTGGAGATGATGGAAAAAATAACACACTATCGTCACCCAATAAGGTCTAAAAACACACATAATAACCATATAATAATTTATAATTACAATTAAAGGGTATTATGATGGAAGAACTAACTATACATATAGTTATTTTTAATACATAATATGAGTAATCCAATATTCCTTTTGTGTCATATTATTAATAGTGTAACGGGTATGTTCGGCAAACCCTTTACCACTCACCATAGTGGACACCATTCCAATAGTTACCAGTATTATGTACAATTTCATAATAATTAATAATAAATGTAATTTATACTAAATAACATCAGTAAACCTAAATTACAAGTTTTACAACTGTATAATGTCTCGCTTTACATTAAGTATTTGCACACATTTGAATATATTACAGATATTACCGATAGTTCTTTCGAAAGCTTCTCAGTTTCAGCTTCAGCCCAAATTTCATTCACTTTTGGAAGTTCCAAATCAATTAATTTTAAAATGGCAGCTAAAGTATGTTTTGATTGACCTACAATCAATTTTGGTACTTCTTGCCAAACAGAAATTCTAGTCTAAGTTGATTTTAAAGAATTATTATTTATACATTACTAAAATATATAAATTTGAAAATGTCACCTCTAGGTTTCCCAATGCTCCGGGAAAATCTGAATCTTCTTCTTTTGACATCCAATATCTCCACAACGTATAACTATACCTTACACCAGGTAATGTAACTTTAAGTGGAGGCAAATCAGTAATGGAACTTATTGAATTTATTACACGAATTAATGACATTTGTAATTCATCGCTAATAGGGCTAAGTCTTCGGTCTTTAGGGTTATCAACATAAAAATATTTCAGACTTGACAAGTCTACCTGGAAATAAAAAATGTACATACATAAGAAACTAAAATTTAAAGTAAAGAATACAAAATCTTTGGTGGTCATAAATAGTTTAGTAGAACTTAGCAAAATAGACTATTTTATATTAGATTTTATTATGAATTTAAAACAATTTCAAAGTCTATTTTTTATTCAAATGTGCTTAATTGTTGACTGTGACCGCCCACTAAAGGCATGTACATTGAAATATATTTATTTTCATTTATAGTTACTGAAAATAAGGCTATTTATCTTTACTATAAAATTAGGCGACATTTTTTTACACATAATATTAATTTACTTGTTGATCTAATTTCATTTCTATAGACTTTTCAGGGCCTACAAGAGCTTTAATAACAGGAGTCAAATCTTCAGCATATTTTGTCAAAGGTCCAGCACTGACCATAGTGTGCTTTTCGGTTCCCATTCTAAATGTCATACCTTTGGTGTTAATAATGCCTGAAATTTAATTAAAAAACTTTTAATTAAACAGATAAAATAATTTATAAGAATCAAAATATGTTTACTTAACTTTCAACTTTTGTCAAAATTCTATTAACTATATGATTTTAAACATGACTATAACATTACAAATCAGATAATTATTTTTACAATTTTTAAGATTCAATCTATTTTTTTTTTTTTGTAATCACTAAATATTTTGTAATGATTTTGTTATTTATATTTTTATCAGAATTGTATAAAACATTTGCTTAGTGTAATTCTACATAAATATAAAGCTAGAATAAACAAAATGTCAATTGTACAGTGTCCTATTCTATTCTAGTCTTTTTATTCTATTATTAACAGTACTAAATATTTAATTGAACTGTTTTTTGTTTAGTAAGCTAATTGTATAGTTAATTTAATATTTTAAGTATAAAAATAAAATTATGTGGGAAATGCATACAATAACTAGTAGTTTAAAAAATTATACCACCTTTAAATTATACGTTATTGGTTTCTTACCTGTTGTTAATTTGTGTCCAAAAATACCACAGTTAAACGCTGGTATACGTGCAGATCCGCCAATATCTGTTCCAAGACCTAATGGACTGCCACTTGCTGATACTAGACTAGACTAATAAAATAAACAAGTTAAAAATGTATTAATTTTTAAATATATAAATCTATAAATACTTCTCCACCAGATGAACCTCCAGCTGTTCGTCTTGTGTCATAAGGATTATTAGTTTGTCCATAAACCTTGTTTCTAGTTTCACACCATAAATTTAATTCGGGAACATTTGTGTTAGCTATGTGTATTGCCCCAGCAGTTTTCAATGATTTAACAATTTCAGCATCTTCATGACATTTCATACCAACTCTAGATAACATTCCAAACGTCCAAGCCATGCCTTTAGCTCCTGTGCTTTCTTTGGAAGTAAATGGCACTCCAAATAATGGTTTACCATCGAAAATTAAATTAATTTTGTCTTCAGAATCGGCTAATTGAATAAGTTTATCATATTCATCTGCTTCAGCTAATGCTTTGTCATAGCGAAAATCTACCACAGCATTTATTATTGGATTAACCTGATTAATTCGCTGGATAAAACATTCAACCACATGGCGACATGATACTTGTTTGGTTTTAATTTTATTTACAATGGTAACACAACTGTCGAGTACCAAATCATCATTAACTGGAGGCAGTTTTTTTGAAGATACATCAGAATAGACATAGTCAAATATGTAAGATACAACATAGTTGTAAATGATACGCAACAATGAAATTATATACAATACAAAATTACAAGAACGTGATGATATTGTTTTACGTTTTTTTTGACCACGGCTTTTCTTCAAATGGGTTTTATCCTTAAAAATATAAATACATATTTATTTAAGTTAAAATTAAAATATAATAAAATGCTTATTAAAATTGTGATTTTGTTATTTTAATTTTATATAAATGTAATTGTAACTTTAATTACAAAACATAATTTAACAATTTTCTTCTATTATCTTAAATATGGATAAAATTATATTACATTACAGAAGTATAAAAGTATTTAAAAATGTGTAAGATACGTAACGGTGAGGGTTGGAAAATATATATTTTTAAGTACGAAACGACGGACTATTGTCATATACTACATTTTATAGTACCTATAATATGTAACGATCCTTTAAATGAAAACTTCATTTGGCAAAGGGTCACTAGTTTATACGCCTAACCAATCCCCAGTCCACCCATACATACAACACTATCATGTAGAGTATTACATTAATTATAAAATAGTTTACCTTTTTTTCGCTTGCCATTTTTTATTTTCAGAATAATTGGAATAGGTATTATCGTCAATTCTAGCTATTGGTACTAATAAAAACGATGTAACGATGTGGTGTAATACATAATAAAATATACAATAATCTTACAACAGGACACCGGCTAATCACTTTGAAGTTAGAACAAAGTGTATTAAGCACAACATTTCAGGTGTTTGTTGGTACCCACTGACAAGGCGAACGCGGACTGCAAAGCCGGAACACCTTGAGAAGGGGAATAAATAGGTAATACACAAGAACAAGAACAAATGGCCTATTGCGTGCAACACAAATGTTTTTGAAATTGGTTAACAATCATCTTAAGCAGTGATTAGTAAGCAGTAATTTCAACCAAAAGTAGAACGAATAACGATCAAGTTATATTATTTTATTGATTGATTTTTCTTTTAACTCAGCTGTCAATAGTCATATCGTTTAGGTCAGTTTAGTATTAACTATTAGACAGTAGGTACAAATAGTATTATATATCGTATTGGACATTGGTAGGAAAACTATTTAGAGCTGGCTGATGTTAGTAGTAGTTGTTCGTTAAATAATACAACCTATCTTGAACATAGTATAAATGTTTTACAGATTACGCTGTACTTGTAATTGTAGCAAAATATCTATGAATATTAATATAATAACATGATATATAATGTTAATTTATTATTCCATGATCCGCAGCCAGCTATGTAAGTAATAAAAATGTCTAGTAAAACATAAATTATGTAATATATAATGTATAGAATATATATATAGAAGCTATATAATAATTTAAATTAACTAAAAAGTAAGCAAACGATTAAGTTATCAAAGGTCAATTAAAATAGCCTGCCACCTGGTGATAAGTGATAATTGATAACAAAATGTTAAATTACCCATTAGGCATAGATATATATAATAAACTAGATTGCTAAGTGCTAACTGTACATGCCACCAAAAGAGAAGATTGAAGCAGCCACTTTCCACCATCTTGGTGGGAATTAGAACCTTATCACGCGAGAATAATATATGTTTATACAATCACATATATATATAACATAGACCTATAAAGAAATCTTTATAGGTCTATGATGTATAATATTGATACAATAATATATACAGATATATATTATATACATTGATAACACACATAAATCCCACCAGAACGGCGGACCGTCGGCTTCAATTCTTATCGCAAGTTAGCAATCTAGTTTATTATATATATCTATGCCATTAGGTTTGTTCGTTTTGAAAAAAAGTGTACACTAATTAGTGTAGTGTACACTTTTTTCACACCTACTCTACGGTCGGTGTGAAAAAAGTATATACTGATACAACACTATTTCAAACCGAACGCTTTGTTGTACACTTGTTGTGAAAAAGTGTACACTTTTTGTCAAAACGAACAAACCTATTGAGTAGTTAAAAAATAAGCCGCGAGATAGCATTACAAGGATCATAAAATTTCATAGATCTACAAAGAAATGGACTGATAGTAGAGAGAGAGATCCGAATATCGATATTGTTAAAAAGAGACAGAGAATATTAAATATTATGGAAGAATATTAAAAAAAATATTATATCATGGAGAAATAGTAATATGATAATACACGATAACAAAATGTTTATATTAAAAATGTTTAATTCATCTTATTAAAATATTGAATTTTAATTGTCATCAGTTTAATTTCTTATAATGGTTTTCCAATGTAAAATTGGAACTCGACGGTCGCTTTTAGGTACTCTGTGTTTGACCTTCTCATTACGTGCCCAAACCATTTGATTCTTTTTTGAAGTCGACAAATACCTGCCACACATTTTGTTTGTATTCAAACTTTTTTTCTATAATCTGCCCAATCACCGACAGCTGATCTATTGTCAATTTCCTTTTTTGAAATTCGCATTGGCACTCCCCTATACATACTAATTGTATGTAAAACAGTATTAACAGTATTTTAGTATAATAATAATTTACCAACATTAAACTGTCTATAGAGTTTGTAAAGAAAAACTGTTTTTCAAAACATACCTACACGTTCGTTGATAAAATCTGAATGAAATTGTAACGTTTTTTTAAGTATTTATTACCAATATACTATACATATCTATTTAAAACAATACATCATACGAAAGTATTGGATACCCGACAAAAAAATTAAATACATATCCTTAAATGCTTTACAACTTCGAATAACACAATAATAAATAATAATTAAATATGATTTAATTATGATATAGTTCCACGTGTGTGTATCATCATATATATATATATATATAATTGTATTATTCCATGGGAAACCTAACAACTTTGTCTATCTCTATCTAACGTTGTTCATAATGCGGCAGTATAGGCGAGGTGTGTGGGAGGCGCAGTCCATATATTTATAGATCTATGTAAAATTTATCTAATGAGATTTTTATTAAATGGGCCGAAAATGGAAAAAGGAAAAAATAAGGTCAATGTAAAATTACTACATTTTCACAGTATATAAATCTGTGACGTAGCGTTTTTATCACTGAACTCAATATAATATGGAACGCGTATTCAGATTGAAAATGTCCCCACCTGGGAGGCAGCCATTTTGTGTACATTTTCATAGAAAGTAAAAGTTATACGTTATTTTTCCATGATATGTCTTAAAATGTTAGGTTAGGTGATGATAACACCGTCATATATATATGATAAATCATAGAAAAAACAATAAATATCATGGATAAAACAAAAAAAGTACACAAAATGGTAGCCTCCAACCAGGGGACATTTTCATAAGCAGCCGACTATAGGCAAACGGGTAAGCGGTCATAGGTTCTCAAGCCATCCTATAGTATTTTTCTTCAATTGGCATAACTTGGTAAAAAAAAAAAAAAATACCCCGAAGGGAGGAGTAGAGCGGTACCGTCATAACCATAGTGGTAACCTGTTATCATTTGGGAACCTTTGACCGAATGACGGCAATACGCGTTCCATATATTGAGTTCAGTGTTTTTTATTTTAGCTTCGATGCGATAGCATATTTTTTTTAATAATAATAATCACTAACTTTTCATAAACAAATGAAACAAAAAGAAAAGAAAATAATCTTTACGAACGAATAACTTGGATTGTGGTGACTGGTGATTATTTTTATCAAAAAAATTAAAACCCTACGATATAGATTCTCTTCTGTGTACTATACAAATTTTGTAATTCTACTACGAGTACATTCCAAAAAACCTTGCCCCCGCACAACGAGTTCTGCGGTTAAAATAGCGGTATTTGTCATTCAATATTGATCGTGTATGGTAGGCTTTTAAACTACATCCTCGATCAGGCCCCTTTAAAATGACGAATCTATAAATTATTCAATTATATAGTGTTATTATATAAATAATATTTTTTATTTAAACACTTAAAATGATTTTTGTTTACTTGCAATCAATACTTAATGATTAATAATATTTGTATATTGATAATCGCACGGAAAAGTGTTACCTTACATATCATTTTAAAAAAAATAGTCATACTTGTGGTAGTCATTGAAAGACACCTAATGATCATGATGACACTCGACATATTTTTGTATCTTTCTTTTATGTAGGTTTAAGATGTTATTCTGTACAATAAATATGGTGTGCATTTACAGACATTTACAATTTAACCTAATTATTTTATCGAAAATAGTAAAAACAAAGGTTAAATCACAGAATAACCAGAAGAGACACTTTCCAAGAATTACATGGGTACTTATGATGGATAGATTTGCTACATCCTAACCGGGAAATTTTCGAAATTAGATCGGCAGCAATGAATAATTTGTAATAATAACTGATTTCTGGCAACACTGATGCTCTCAACAATTTTACCGATTTCGAGTTCTTATTGTCCATCTATTCTGGTTATTCTGTGGTTAAATATCAAAAGATAAACGTCATTTTTTATTATAAAATGCATTACACGCATTTATCTAAATGTATACTTTTATTTGTTTTATAGTTCTAATAAATTTAACTCAATTAGTTATTAGTAATTAGTTATTTTTAGTTATTAAATAAAAATCAAATATTTAGCCCCTATAGAATACCTGTTTATAGCAATGTACCTAATTTAGACTCCAATATTCGACTTATAAGTAAACTTGTAATATTAGACTTAAGCTGTTTATAAAAGAAAAACAATAAGGAAATTCTTTCATTAAACAGGCTAGAAAATGACTTCTACAATATTATTTTTTTTTTATCAAAATTGCGCCTTAACTCGGAGAAATAATCTTAAAAGTTATGGAATTAAACAAACTTATATACAATTAATCTTTAATTAAGTATTATAATAAAATGGCTTCTAGATTGTGCCTTGTCAAATGTTGCCTATCTTTTCACTTCTGTCTCTTAATAAATACATTCAAATACTAATTACATTTTATCTTTGTTTAACTTGTTCAGCCACTAATTATTATAGCTTCACGTTTTGGTTACATCGACCAACACTCGGCAATTGCCACGTAGAGTCAATTTTTTACTAGATATATATTAACAGTATTACTCTACAGTTATAAAAATAAATGCGTGACAAACAAAATAATGGCGATCATCTTAATATTCATTATCGCACGTGTTAATATACCTATGCATACAACAAAACAAAAAACACGAAATAATATTTTTTATTGTTAAATGAGAAGATATAGTGAGTAGTGACACTTTTTTGTTTACATTGTAAAAACTAAATTTCATTCTGAATTATTCTATACGGAAGGTAAACAATTTTAGACATCACCATTTCGAAATATTATACAAAGTTGTATACCTACCTCATTCATTTTTATTTATTGACATTTTCCAGACATATGGTTTTAAACGATAAATATAAAATTATAGAAAAGGACAAAAAAAAATAACCAGCGAGCGCGTAAAACTAAGTTAAAATAATATAAACTTAAATTAAACTGAAAAGTCAGAGCTCTTTGGAAAGGAAAGAATTGCAAGAATGACAGGAACGGGAGTTTAATAAGTTAATAATTTACCACTTTATCAGTTATTTAATCTAGTTTAATTTAGTTATGTTTTGTGTAAGTTGGTATTATACTATTATTAAATTACGTGATCATTTGAACTATTGTGATATAAATAAATAGATACATGAGGTTTATCGATGTCAAAATAAAATAAGGATGCTATCGAATTGAATAAATATAGAATAACCTATGATTTATTTGTAATGTTACGATTAGAAAAAATAGTTTTTATTCATTGTATTGAAACTTGAAACCTTAATGTCTCTTTTGCTAAAGTCAATCGATATCTTACCTATTTTTTATCTCCATAAAATACAATACGTGCTCAATTTTCAAAAATAATCTTTATACAAACATAACTGTTGTTAACAAATAATGACTACGAGTAATACCATAACACCAAATACCATACAATAAAATTCGAAAAAAATGTATGTAAAAAATGAAATTGACATTGTAATATTCAGTAACTAGCAGATAATGATGGAGAGGGCTTTTTTTAATTAATAATATAGCATAATAATTTACCTACGTCCATTGCACGGTCCAACCCATATAGATTAATCAATATAAATCAAGTCATTTGTGTACCTATCTATATTCAATATTCATGTATATTAGGTAAAAAATGATCTACGAATATAATTAATTAAAAAATTAATTGGTTTAATGCAGTAATTATTGAAGTTATCAATTTAAAAAATATGCCGCGCCCTCTAAAAGCCTCAATTGCCAACATAATATGTGCTAAATATTACGGAAGTTTTTGCAGTCAAGGCACATTGCTGTCCCTTAAATCTAAACAATTAGAGCTGATGCCTCGCCTCTCACCGAAGCAGAGCAAACAACAGCTGCTGGTGAAGAAAATATCAAATTCAAATGATACATTCGCGTCATCCTTACCTATGGATAAAATCAGATACAGAACTTCTGTATCAGAAGTTTAGTTATACAAACGATTTTTGGCTTGTATGGGGAATATAATACCATTGATTATAAATACTTTTGTTATTACATTACATTATTTGTCACGACTCTATAAGAATCATTACCACTGAAAGTGATGCGATTTTGTAATGGTAGAAACAATTTACAAATATCGATAAAAACATTGTACCTAAGTCCTAATGACAATAATGTACTTGAAATGTAGTTTTAGTGTAAGGGTGCATACGATTAGGGTTGATCGTCTGTCTTTAATAATTTATTGACCAGTTACTCATATAAAGTTACTTACAATATAATGAAAATAAATTCAAAAACCTGATGACTGTTGATTCACACAAATAGCAACCTAGAAATTGACAACGGTCAGTGTAATTTTCCCCTTTTTTGGTTTTTCCATAACAAAAAAAAAGTTTGATTACAGATTTTTTAGAAAATTGTATGTATATGTTATATCCCCATTCTAGATCTACTTTTGGTCTAATTTTCAGACCTTGCATCGCAAAACTTCTAAAAAAGCGAAAAATATGTATTTTTTTTTGGGTGTTCCTGGATTTGGAAGAAAAAGGGGTAAACATTTTTGGTCTATAGTAACTTCCAAGTACGATGTTCAATGTTCAGCATTTTAGAAGAAATTGTGGGACTCACACAGAAATAAAGTAAAAACACATCATTGTAAAAAAAATATCTTCTCAGCTATGCATCGAAGATAAAATCGATTTATCGAAATATAAAGTGTAAAAAATACTTTAACAATGTATTATTCATTGCTATAAATAGTTATTAATTACAAAATAGTCAATGAAAGATAACTACCATGTGCGTCTTTGAAGGTTTCAGTATGTTATTGAATATTGATAAGAGTTATCAAGGCTCAAGCATTTTTAATTAATAAAGAAAAAATCGACAAGTTAAATTAATTAATAAGAAACGAACTTTTGCAATAATTTTATTGTGAATAGTTTATTGGACGTTTTAATGTTTTATTAATGTTAATTGTTTGTTTTATTGAATATTTAAAAAAAATGTAATGTATTAATTTTTATCATATCATTATCACATGTTAATGTAAGGTTAGGTAATTCTTTTTCATGGTACTTTTTTATTTTGTTTCCCTGGAAAATCGATAACTTTAACGTCGGAATTTGCCGTAATCTTTTTACGTATCGCTAACGAAGGTGAACTGAGATTATTGTTGAACATCAAATATTTATTAAGTCGGCTGTTTAGTGTTTATAACTCCACGTCTTGCAGTAAAGTGGTAAGTTATCTTAGATTTCCCCCTCTGTAAGTGTAAACCCAGGGTCACAAGGTTCTATAAGTTTCTTGGTAGTGGACGTTGAGATTACACTTAACACAAGCCATTTGTTCGGCGGTTTTATGCCGACGTACTACTGCAGTCTACAGGTATACTGTAGTACTGTAGTCTGCAGCCGGCAATTGTTCATTTAATTTTAAATTTAAATTTTACTAGAGCTATTAATTTGATTAAAGGTACAATGGCTGAAGACGATTTTTTTGAAGGAGCTGAAAAATTATTGGAAATATGGTTTGGTCGCCAGGACGGTCAGGTTGAAAATGGTGACTTGAGAAAAATTCCAAGGTAAATTTTTACCTCCTTCTTTATTATTATTTGCATGTTGTAATGTTGTACCTTTATGGTTCATTAGACTTTGTATGTTTATGGGAGTAGGTATGTAGCTATTCAAATAATTCATAATTCAAAATTATTCATTATTTGTATAGATTTTAAAACATTTTTACTTATTTATATTAATAAAAACTTAGAAAAAATGCATGAAATAGATAGATGTGATAAAATATTTTATAATATTTCTAAATTTATATAAAATTATTTTTATACTTTAATACTGTTTACAATAGTTTCTACATATGTTTTACCTAGTAATTAACAACATAGTTTTCTTCAAATGCCATTTAAATTTAATTTGTTAGAAACGAAACATAATAATAACTACCCATTATTTTATTATACATGTATCGGCAGCTGAAAGTCAAAATTGCACTAGTTTAGAGCTTAGGCTTTTTAGGAGAATGAAAATCAATTTTTTGATTTATTACTCAATGCTTGTATTTAAATTAATGCAATTTTTAAATGAGTATGGTACTAATGAAAAATGATAAATACTTCAATAATTTGCTTTTAATATAAATAATTGCCCAACTTCCCAATTTTCAATTGTGTCTTTTTGCCTAACTGTAGACAGGTCCGTAAATTCGATGCTTGTAATGAAAATATTTATTTTCTTCTTGGTTGGGCACATGTTTGTGATCATCTAATGTTGGTTCTTGTACGAAATAATGTTTATTTTCATTATATTATCATTATTATTAGTTAGCAATCAAGTGGTCCATTTTGCCTTTAGTGGTCATTGTCTTAAAACAATTTTTGTAATTTAAAAACAATATTAAACAACTTACATTGTTCGTTTTTAATGTACTGTAATAAATTTAAAAAGTGTATTTTAAACAATAAATTGTCCTTAGTAGAAAGTAAGAAAAAACATAAAAAATTTACATTTAAAATAGATCAAGCTAAAATGTTATACAAATTAATTTTGAATTAAAATGTATTATGTTTTTAAAATATAATCTATTTTAGTGGAAATCTAGAAAGTACTTAAGTAAAATAAATGTTTTAAATACATAATTTCAGATAACCAACAAGTACCCATTAGTAGATTAATGAACTGTATATTTTATTTATCTCTATCTTGTTGCGGATACTTATAAGGGATTAGAGTATAAGATTGTATTGTTGGTTGATACCTACCATTCATTAAAAAAAAAACACGGTTAAGTGAACACTTTACAATCTACAACAAAATAAAGTATACTTCTGTTTTAAAAATGATTAATTAATATGTAACATTTAATTAAAAACCTCTTTAAAATAGGTTAGGTAAATTAATTAATTAAAAAACACTAAAACAGGATTAAAAAGGTTATATATTTTGTTTTAATTATCCATCTGAATTTTATTTTGAAATTTCCTACATGCATATTATATAACTTACAACATGTACTGAAAACGTATGTATAATAACATAATATGTTTGGTAAACATGAAGTATTTAATTTATTTTGTTTCTTTGTGATTGTTTTCATAACAGAAATAGCTCTAATTATGTTATAGTATAGTGAGCATAATTCAATTTGTTGCATAGTTAGATGAACCTAATATAAATAAAATGTAAAGAAAACCATAAAAAAATATCAAATATGTTTAAGTAGTTAAATTAATACATTGTATCTATTAACTAAATTAGTCCTTTGTTAGAACATTCTTAAAAAAATATCATTGATTCTGAATTACTTTTTAATAAGATTTTCCATTAACTGCTATGAACAGTGATAATATTATAAATGTTATGGTTTCAAGTGTAAGTAAAAATGAAACAAAATAAAAACTTTAATGTCACACGTAATGTTTAAATTTGTATTGTCATCATTATTGTTCTAAAAGCTGGTTATTTTGTTTAAAAAATAATAATATTTTCGTACTTATTTTAGTGCAAAATCTGGTATACGTCCAATGACACTTGGCACCAAAACCTATGAAAAATACATTTATTATTTTTTAAGTGAAGGTTAAATGTTACAATATATTAATGCTTACAGGCCACTCATCAAATACGTTTTTATCTGATTATAATATTCATATTGGTTTATGAATGTCTAAACTATCACTTTTTTTTTAGCATTGTCTTTGATAGGTTAATGCTAAAGTACCTTTATCACACATAATACAACATCAATTTTATGACATGTACCCAGTTTTATACAACTCGCCATTGTAGTTTATCAAATATTTGTATATTGATATTTTGTTGTACTTACTACAAACGGTTAAAAAGTAATATCCACACATAAATTTGAATAGAAGTATAATATATTATTTATTCAAATAAATATATTGTACTTTATAAAGTCTGACAATATGAAAATAAAATAATTAAATAAAACAATTTTCCTTTGCACAATTTCTATAAATTCAAAACTATTAAGTAAAATATTACAAGTCTAATTAAAAGCAAATAAATGTATTACTTTTTTTACACGCTTTTCTTTTATTTTACCTAAAGCAAATGGTTTTACTAGATTATATCATGTTTATTTGTCATAGACAAATTTCTATGGGAATTGCCTAATTCTTCAATGAATCATTTAGATTGAATTAGGAATAAGATGTAGTTTAAGAGTTGTGGAAAAATGAGAAAGAATAGACAAACGGTTTGGATAGAGGGGGATAGTAAAACAATTAAAAGATTAATGCTGAAGAATTGTGAGGTAGAAGGTTGACCAAAGAAGAAGTATGTGAATGATAATAATAAAGACATGGAGTTGTATAAAGTAGTCTAATCCCTACATAAGTTTCAAACCATCCTCTAACCACTGATTCTAAAAATCATAGAAGATAGCGTGTCTCCCTGTCTTAATTCTGTTTTAACATTCTTTTGATATATGGCCATTGAACTTAATTTTGCATTTTGAGTTTTGTATACATGATCTTATCAGTCTAATTAACTTGATAGGGACTCTTAGTTCTTCCATTGTCACCGATAGCTTTTCTCTTACTATGGAATCATACGCTTCTTTGTACTTGTAACACTTTTCCATTTTTTGTTTAATGATGTGGTTCTGGTCCATTGTTAACCTTCTTGATCTGAGTCCTGCTTGATAATCTCTGACTATTTCCTCACCTTATGGGTTTAGTTTGGCAAACAGTAAGTTTGACGGTATCTTGTATGAGGTGTCGTAGTGATATCCCTCTATAGTTTTTGCAGTCTATAATATCCCCTTTCTTATGAATAGGGCATATGATTTAGTAAGTAATTTTAGGTTTTTTTAGTTTATATGTTACCTGATTATATCATTGTTATTTTTGCATTTATGTTATTATTATTTAGTTTATATTTTTATATTATCATTTGTTTAATTTTAGTTACGTTATTATTATTTTAATGTTTTTTTTTCTCTTAAATACTCTATTTTGGTTAACACCCGTCATGTCATTAAATAAATAAATTAATTACATCTATTATCTACCAAAAGATGTTTTAGCATTCGTTTCTATTTCTTTACAAAGCCTCCCAGCGACATCCACGTGTGTTTGTGGATGTTTTTACTCTTTATGTTGAAATTGCGTGCTGCTTATTGTCATACCTCTTGTCGTCGTGAAAGATATAAGTCGTTCACCATTGTTATTAGATCTATTATGTAAACTTTGATTTCCAATTACCGGCCTAAACCATTGTTCTGCCAACTTTCGCGTTAAAATCTCCTAGCACTACCTTGTTCATGTTATTTGGAAGAGAGCCATTGGCTGTTTCTAGCTGACTATAAAAATTGTTTTAAGTCTCGTTATCTTTATCCTTTATTAGGGCATAACAATTAATAAATGCAATATCGAACCATCTACCCTTCACTACTATGTAGTACATCCTATCATTTATTGGTACAAATTTTGTGATGGTAGACAGTATACTATAATAGCTTACTAGAAAGCTGACACCTTTCTCATGTGAGTTACCTTCATAGTAGAAAAAGGTTTATTTCTGTGTTTTTAGATTTTCTATTCTAGGTATCTAGTCTCTTGAACCGCTAAAAAGCCAGTCCGTATCTGTCAAGCTAAGATACTACCATTGTCAGTTTTCCAATCTTGCATAGTGATCTTACATTTCATATTCCGGTCTTAAAATCCTGAAACTCTTTGTTCATCCAAGACTTTTGTTGTGGTTGTTTCTTAACTACTGAGTTTTGCATATTGGGTTGTCGGCCCAATGACAATATTATTGATAAAATTATACTTTAATTTTTTAAATGTTGAGATCAAATTCAAAGCTATACAAAACTACATCAATTAGTTGATGTAGTTTCAAAACTAGTTTATTCTTTTAAACTTGCATTTGTTAGTATATATCAGTTAAGAGGAAACGATAAACAAATGATAAACAATATCAACTATTTCAAGTATATAAACAATGTTTTCAGTATTAATATTATACAATAATACTAATAACTGTGACTTTTGTACGATACAACATAAAATAATATATATATATATTGTATTTATATATATTATATATATATATATTATATATCACACTTTGGCTTAAAAAAAAAATTACCTAAATTTTCAAAATATAGTTTTGTACCTACAAATTTGTTTACGTAACCTAACTTACTTTGTCATGTACCTATTATTCTTTCAGAGAAAAGTACAAAGATCTTTTGAAACATGCCAGTTGTGAAGTTATCAGCTGTTCTAGTAATGATGAAATTGATGCATATGTTTTGAGGTAAAATATTCTCAATTAATGTATTGTACATAATTGTTGTTTCCTTATTCTTTCTACATATTATGTCTAATAAGGCAAATTGAGGTCTGGATAGTTTCGGGCAAGATTCACGTTTTACGCTCTAGCTAATATAGTTTTCCAAATAAAAAAAAACCAAAATAAAAGATAGACCATCCACCGATAGTCATCTGTAATGTTCAGTGCCCTATACCCTTTCGATGAAATACATTTCTGACTACAGTCCTGCAAACCATTATATTATAGTTTTTTTTACTTTGTTTGAGTACAGCCATTATATGAAACTATAAAGAGTTATTAAAGCAATATAAATTAATAAAGATATAGTAAGACAGCTTTACAGGCCTTTAGGGCCCACCGCTGGGGTTTCTTGTTGTATTTGCTGTCTAACGCGGATCGTCAGTCCATCGACAGACTATCGAGGGGGGATGGTGGCCCTTTTTAATTAGACAATTGCTTGTCTAGCAAACAGAGTGGCCATGACCGGGTGACAAACCAGCGACAGTGAGCGCTAATACACTACCGCTTTACCCACTCGGCCACTCGCCATCAAATTAATAAAGATAATCAGTTTAACTTAATATATCATTTTCAGTGAAAGTAGCATGTTTGTTACAAAACGCCAATTTATATTAAAGACATGTGGCACTACCACTCCAATAGAATGCATTAAACCTTTATTATTATATGTACATGAGTATACTGGGTTTGACGAGGTAGAGGATGTGTTTTATTCACGCAAAAACTTTGAACGTCCCGAACTTCAAAAGAATACACATCGGAATTTCAAACAGGAAATACAGGCTCTTGATATAATATTTAAAGGAAGTATGTAAAACTTATTTTTAGATTTAGTAATAATATGCAAAAAATACAGTATTTTTTTTTAAACATGTTGTACAGCCGGTATGGCAAGATGTATGCATTCAACTAAAAGTGGAGATTCATGGTATTTATATGCATTACATCCCGTTGAATGTTTTACAAAAGAAAAACAAACTTCCGATCAAACTTTGGAAATTCTAATGTCTCAGTTAAATCCTGAAGTAATGCAAATATTTACTAAAGAGCAATCTGCTAACGCTACTCAAGCCACTCAAGTAAATTATATGATACTATGCTGAAAATATATTGAAGAATCATTATTAATACTGCTGTAATTATAATTATGTAATTTATCTTGTATTTATAGGAGTCAGGAATTGAAAAATTATTACCTAATATGAAGATAGACGACTTCCTATTTGATCCGTGTGGTTATTCCATGAATGGTATTGCTAAAGAGGTATTTTATTTTCATTTATTACAATTTTTGTACTCATTATATATCTTAGATCATATACAATGGATTTAATGATACATGATATTGCCCATATGCCGGACTGTGTTCAATATAAGCCCCCCACTACCGTTAAATTTCAGGTAAAAACGCATAACTGCGCATGCCTTACTGTTACAAAACAGACTATGATTGACTAATGGTTTTAGGTGCGCACAACAAATTTTTTACTTAGAAATGTTTTTTATGATATAGTAAAAAGTGGGGGTTTATATCAGACATACTTTAGGATAGATGGTACGACCTTTGCTACATCCATTGTTAATTATCTAAGTTTTCTATATAACTTAAAAATAAATAAATATATATAAATTATAAATATACAATTTACAATCGATGTTGAGACCCTCACCTACTTTCGTAAAGTGTATCTGATTACCCCCCCCCCCCCCATATATATAATATATAATAAGGTGGAAGTTATTTTGGACTCTTTATACATTTTTTAATTCAAAGAATTTTTCGGTTTTATATACTAAAAAAAGTGACTCAAAATTTCATAGTTGTAGCTATTATTGTTTTTCATGTTTATAACAAAATTCCAAAAATTCTGAACATCAAGATGTTTTACAATTATTCTTTTTTCATTTTTCGCCTATACCACACCTATCATATAAGTCATGCACCTACATACTAATCAGTTTACATCTTCTTATTATTTACATGTTACTATCTTATTTCAATAATATTGCTCCTTATATATTTTTTGCCACTTGTGTGTCACTCTGCCTATACATATATTCCGCCAATAAATATTTTATTTAGTAGCATAATTTTACTCTATTTTAAGCTTTTAAATATTATTGTACGCTGCAACTTGAAGAAGTTTAAGTTAAGACTGGTCTTTTTATTTCTTTGCATTCAATAACCTCATTCATGAATAATTATTTTTATTTTTTAATAATCATATTAATTTATGAATAAAAAAATAGTTCATTATTTATCAATTATTATTCAGTCCTCCGTGACTTTTTCATTGTTTAAATAATTTTTGCACATCTTTTTCCAAGTTATACTTGATTATCATACTGACTGTAAAATAAGTTGTGTTATTATAATTCTTATTGTGTGAATGGTTTCTTTTATAGGGACATTATATGACAATTCATATTACTCCACAACAAGAGTTTTCGTATGTGAGTTTTGAGACTAATGTTCCTCAATGCTCATACAAAGAGTTGATCACAAAAGTACTAAAAACATTCCAACCCGATAAATTTGTACTTACTATGTTTACTAATCAGGTAAATATTTATTAAATAATTTACGAGTGTCTTTCAATAAATCACTAAAACTGTTTTTGTTCTTTATATATATATATAGAAATCGCCAAGCAAATCAAATCACAAAGAATTGAAATACTTGACAGAGTTAGGCGAATGGCGTCAAGACACAAATAAGACGTGTTCCTTAAAGAATCACGACCTAACTGTCTCGTTCTACTCAAAGTATCCAAGCTGAGATCAACTGTTATTAAACAGACCTCTTATTAAAATTCAAATGTCTCTAACGCCACATTACACAACCGTCCTATCTGTTCTAGTCTGCATAAAAAATTTAGTTGTTACTGAACCACTTTATCATTTTGCGTGGCGCCGCTTTAAAATTGTTTAAATTAATTACCCTACTAGCATTTTTTCGGTACTACTCAAAATTCTATATTGTTGTTTTTTTTTTTTTTTTTTACAATTTTAAGACTTGATGAACATTGTTGTTCCTGTATTGGACATTATATAAGTAAACATGCTTATTTAAATAATTGTGATTATAATAATGTGGCTGACATTTTAATTAGAGGTATGTACTAATTTAGTGCAGCACTACAAAATTTCCATTTTTTTAATTATTCTTAGTAATTCAATTTTTATTTTTGAAACGATACATTCTTTTAGACTGTTAGACATTTATTTCTTTTTAAGTTTATAACATTGTTTTTAATGAAGCATTTTATTATGTTATTTGTTTGAAAAGCTATTAATTTATAATAGAATAGTTTCAATATAGAATTAAACAAAATAAAAATTCTAGTTTTATTAGTTTTTCTATTTGAGTATATTTACAGTTTTTGTTTAAGATTGTAGCATTTGAAATACAACCATTTTATTAACAATTGAAATTTGTATTAATTGTGATCAATGCTTTTATATTAGAATTTTGTAATACTATAACAGCTATGTTGTCATAGTTTATACAACCTAATATTTTTAACTATATTGTTAAAAGATTGTTTTTTAGTTTTCTAATAATTACTATGAACAAGTCGAGAATAACTGTTTTGTTACAATAAAACATGTTCAAATTTATCAGACATTTGATAATATTTTAATCAGTATGCTGAAGGACCATTTTTGTTGTTATTCTTTTGTTTTTTGGCATTTACCTAGTTTTGATCTTGGGTTTTTTTCACTTGTATTTTTACTAAGGAAAACTAATTCCCATTCAAAAATACCAACTAGACTTGATATTTTTAAATGTGATATGCGGGCCAGGCAGCCAGGTAACGTGCTAAAATTAAAATAAGAGCATATAAAACATTCTACTCAACAAACATAATAGTTAATGTTATAATGTAACAAAATAAAGTAATTATTACTTACATAACAAACTTGCATAACATTTGCAAACGTCATTACAAACATAACTATTTTAGTTTCTTCAGTCAATAAGGAAGATAACAAAATTATTTTTAGGATGTATTTTGTTATTTTAATTTTCGCCAATGATTTCAATTCTATTAATTAATTTTATTTATCAACGTTAATTCAAAATTGTACAAAAATTGGCGGTTTATTTTTTTTTTGATTTGGATTTAAGCGTGACCATAGAAGAAATCATATAATATAAAAATATTCTGCAGTCATTCGGTTGGACACACTGTCAATACACTACCATAATATTAATATGCGCACGTTTGAAAGTATGATAACTTCAAGATAACAAGACGTAAATATTTCTGTTTTCTAATTTCTTTTTTGTATTTGTTTTTTTTTCTTCAATTTTTTAGTTTATTCATAATTAGTTCAATTTTTACGTTTGATTTATGGGAAATGTTCTCAGAAATTGTAAACACTTTACTTTTTTTTTAATGATAAAATGACGTTGAAATGGACATCAACCCACCAACGAATAGACTGTCAGTGGATAGCTCCAAAGGACATTTGGTTATTAAACGATTGGATTCAATCAGAAATCTTTTCGGTTGTGAATTACGCATTACTGAAGACAACGACGACAAATGTACATTTACTGTCAATCCATTAGATGAGTACAGGATAGTAAACAATGATTTGATCAGCAGACTAAAAGTGAGAATAATTTTCATTGTTTTGTGCTTTAAAACTATAATAAATTATGATTATATGTAATTTTAATAACATATAATAGATGAATGTTTCAAATTAATCAAATAAACATTTGATTTTCAAATTTTTAGTTTAGTGCTGTACTTTCTATTTTTCTATCTTTAAAACATGAAATATATTTTTAACAAACACTAGTATTTAGCAATGTTAGTAATTATCAAACTTTGTCTTGGCAGTCATGGAAATGTTGCAGTAAAAAAGATACATAATAAATTAGTGCCTATTAGACCCTAGTAAACATTATTAAGCTAAATCCTGTTACACAAAAAGTACAATGGACCAGTCTGTCATTCACATTAAAAGAAATATTATGGTGCAACAAGTATACATGAGCATGTGAAAGGTGTTCATGAACATCCTGTTTGTATGAATGTATGTGTGCATGTATGATTCTGTGTGATTTACTTTCCCTTTTAATGCTGTCCTAAATCGTATATATATATATATATATATATATATATATAATATATTATATGTTTAACAATTAAATACATTTATCCAGTCAATAATATTAATTAGTAATCAGTAGCTACTGCCATAGTTATTTTTTTATTTATAATAAAAAATATTTATATCTAGTACCTACAGTTTTTAAATTTGGCTTACAGTTAAGAGCAAAGAGAATTATCTAATTTGAAAAGCTATCAATAATATAGTATAGAGTAAATACTAAATTGACCTATTTAACTTAATATTTGTCAGTTTTCAACCATTACGTAGAAAAAATTTCTGGGGTGACTTAAGTGCAGTTTAATTAACAATATTCCAAGAATAGTTTGTTTTTCATTGAATTTGTTTAATATACAACTAGACATTATACTAACTAAATTACAAGTCTGCATTTATAATATGGCTTATATAGGCTTATTGGATGTAAAAATGTTTACTTAATTTTGTTATGGATTTATTTTAATTTATAGCATGTACCTTGTTATATGTACTTTCAGTCCAATTTTTGACTTCGTGTTCCAAAAATGGCCCAAAGAATATAACAAAAAAAACTACCCACTTTCAAGAAGAAATAGTTTAATTTTTAATTGAGTATTTTTTATTAAGGAAGTACAAATATTTAACAATATCCATAGAAAAAAAAATTGGACAATATATTTCGCAAATTTATAGCCCGGTGTAGTCAAAACTTTCTGAAGTAAAAAAATTATAACATTTTCAAAAACAGGTAGGTGTAAGTTATACATTTCAGTAAAACGGCATACTTAAAACTTGTATAGGTAATGAAAATTATAGTTTTAATTTTCTCCATAATATCTTATTTTTTCTGAAACATTTTTATCAGCTGATCAAATGATAATAGAAAATTATAGTAAGATATTAGGCGGTGTATTTTTTTCCTTTATAATATTAATATTATTAACACTTTTTTTTACTATTTTTGTATTATAATTTTTAAAAATACCTGTATGAAAATATTTTTATAATTATTATTATTTTTGTAATTGTCAAAAATAATTGTCTTAACAAAATTAAAAAAAAAAAAGTATTAACACGCATTATTTGTAAAGTAAGAAAACCATTTTGTTTAGTAAAATCATGTTAATACGTGTATTAAACTCTAAAAATTAAAAAAAAAATAGTGCGTGTGTATCTTTGAAGTTATTATTAGAAGCACAATATTTTGTGCTTCTAGTCCTTAAAAAAACCAGTAGGTTTAATAAATAAAAAATATATATTTTGAAACACGTTTCATCTTAAATCGAAGATAATTCGATAAATATACCATTACCACAATAGTATTAGCGTTTATTGGTAATGTAAAAACTAATATATAAACACAATACAATTCACGCGTTTATTTGCTGTACACATTATCAAGTAAACGGTCGATAATAATAATTATAACTGTCTACGACACCTTCCAATGTATGTCTTTAATCTTTATTCTGTCAGTTATTATAATTTTTTCAGGTACAATAACATATAATTATCAAACGTTTTTATGAAGACGCTACCACCCATTTAGGTAGAGTAAAGTAACAGTTCCCTCCCAGGTTAGCGATTATTTGGGGGGGAAAAAAGCAATTTTTAAAAATATATTTATTTATGAGCTTAAACTATAGTGTATACTTATGAATACAATAATGAAGATTCTTTTTGGTTCTTTTTTTTTTAGACTCACAATCATTTACGAGCACAGCAATTTCGATAACTCAATTTACTTAATTTTAATAACTTAACTTAAAAACCCATATTTTAAAAATAGGCGAAACAAATATATTCCATGTATCTAAAAATGTCCACGCATAAGCAAAGCCTTCATAGAAAATATTCACCTCTATATTTTTTAGTCAAGTTTTCGACAAATTAAAACAATATCGTAATTTTTAAAATTCGTTTTTCAGATTTTTAATTTTCTTTGTGTTTACAGACATTTTTAATGATGTATATATATATATGTAATATTTGCATTATTATTTTGTTTATTTTACAGAGTAATCATTATTTCAATTTTCTTGACGAAAAAATCACTCATTTAAATTCTGGTAGTAATATTATATTATTATTAAATACACAGATCGTAGATAAACCAATGCACAATGATTAAAATTCATAACGATTGAAAATGTTTAGAGAAGTGGTAAACGAAATGGTGACGGATGAAATAGCAGTCTTCTCTAACCTTTTAGATAAATCCTCTCTATACACGCACTTCTTCTTCGCCCTATAACATATTTTTTACCCATACAAATTAAAATATTGTTTAGGAGAAAAATAAAAACATTGAAAAACCAGTTGTCACTGTTTTGCTTGAAACATTTAAATGTTTTATAAGTTGTATCAATAATTTTAGTTATGTTAAAATTATTATGTTTGTTAATCACGTAATTCAATGTACTTCGAAACGTATTAAAATGAAACGAGTGAACAGAAATCGAACGTTATTTTTGAAATAAACCTGAACATCGATTCGTTCATTAAAAACGAATGAACTTTCGCTGTGAATTTAATGAACTAAAAAAAGGAAAATGAATTTCTTAATTAACTCTCCAAACACTAAACTGAATTCATTGCAACCATTTGCAACCAACCAGCAATTCTAAGCAGAGTCCATTGTATATTTTTTATTTTTTTTCCTATCTGTTTTGTATTTTCATAGTACAACATTCTAAGTCACTATTTTGACTGTTCTAGTTTTAGTTCTAACCTAACGTTCACCATTAGTCTGTGTCACAATTTTGTTGAAATAATTTTTTCATTAGTTTTAAATTAAAAGTTACCACCATTAATAGTTTATATAAGAAAATTTTAAAAAATTGCCCCACTCCGAGCACCCGTGTTTGGGATTATTTAATAAAGTATCCATGTATCAACTATATTGGATTACGGTACTTGGGGATTCAATCTGTAATGTGTAATGTGTACACTACATTCTAGGCAACAAAGTATAGTATTAATCTTTGTAATATTCGGAAAGCAATCTTTTGTCAGCATTTTCTCAAATTGAGTTGATCCTATTTTCCGAATCATGATTGATTTTTGAACGATTTAAAACCTATACCTGTTAACTTGTGCCATTTTACAGAATCGAACTTGTTTGATCTGAAACTTATGTCAAAATTCTAATACGATCAAAACGATCGTATTTACTAAAACAGTAAATCTTCAATTTCAACATAAGTATTCATGAATAATAATAATTATACTATTCAAATATTTTATATTTTAAGAATTTTAATAGAAAATTTGTTTTGTAATAATTATTCGTAGATTCGATTGGATAAATAGATCTAACGTTAATAACATTTAAAAAATGTTACCATTTCGCATGTAGCTATGTCATTTGGAAAGTAAATTTTACAAAATAGTTATAAACAGTAACAGCAAAATAACAATTATTGTGTTCGAACCCAAAGCTAAGTCCGTTTACTATTAGTACGCCACTGGCCAATGTTTGAAGGTTATACTTCGGTTACTTGAACACTTTCTCTCAGAAGAAAGGCAAACATTACGTTATACTGTTATTTCAATTGAGGAACGAAAAAACATTGGGCAAAATGATCTGGTCGTGTTTTGTGCATGTTATATTTTGCAATAAAATTTGACCGATCTGACAGGTGCTCTGTATTGTTTTCTCAGAGTGATGAATGATACTGAGCGGTTCAAGGGTTGCTTAAATCTTTATATATATATATATGAAATGGCTCAAGAAAAATAAATGGTATTGATCCATTGTTGTCCATTTTAGTTTTTACTTACAATTAGTAACAATTTTGGTTTTAAATTAATTACATTTTGTACTTAAAACTTTTAAGTATAAAGTATAATGTAGGTATACTTACTACTATAGTTATATCGAATGTTCTATACTGCTGTGTCAATAGTTACTAAAAATGATCATAATATTAATTTTATATGGCATCATTAATTACCATAGTTGATGTTAAGCGGTATCTATCATCTCGATACTTTCACGTTGTTTATGCAGTTCAGCTATTCGTCTATAGCTTCAAACTATCATAAAAAGCTTTATGTTATTAATTGCTAGAAATTAAGAAATCTTGTTGTCGATTACTGAATCATGACAAAATTTAATTAGGATGTATTATTTATTCAAACTGAGTACAGTTACAATGTGTGCTGTCAACTAAATTTTAATTTGATAAACTAAAAGGTACAATTTGTTTCCTCGTTAAGAACTACTAGCCATTCTCACCAGTTAAACTTAAAATATAGTATAGTTTAAAAATACAAAAATTCTACTTAAATATACTTAATATCAACTAATCTGTGTTTAAATGTTTTACCAAACTGACAAGAACGGCCAAAAGAGGGGATGTTACGATATGTAACTTAACTGTTTACGCTTAATCAATTTAATGAAAAGGGTAAAGCAAAAATGAAATTTTGTAGCCTTTTTCAAAGAAAAACTTATAGTATTTATGGAAACATGATTAACTTATTTGATTTATTTTTTAGCACTATATTAC